GTCTAACCCAACTCTTTATCATGATCCAACGAGTGTTCCATAGGACTCATGCCAATAATCTCCTAAGTAAGATAAAATTTATGTAACTCATGAGATCAGTTTATATGGATCTGATTATCGTTTGGAGTTTGATGCCTGCTGTTCCAATCATGAAGTTCTGTGACAGAGTTATAAGTAAAATATTTATTGTTCATTGATAATTCTTCATACACAATTTTTTTTTAAAGATTTCTAATCATCTATCAAGGGTGATTCCATTACAGGTTTAAACTTGCTTAATCAAAACATTATTACTATCCAGCATCGCTAACTCCCCTCATACTCCTGCCTTTAATTAAAGTAAATTAGAGGCTGAGTCCAGTTTAGATCTGGGTAAATTCCGGTACCCATAAATTCTCTTCAAAAGGTTCTATTAGTTAGAATTGAGAAAAGCATGTAGATGGAATTTCATGAAGTAAAGAGCAAAACAGTCCAATTATTTAATCATAGGTTAAAATATAGTAAAACAAGAGGAAAGAACTTTTCAAGGGACAACTGTGAAAAGAAGTGTATAGAAACAATCTCCCACAATTTGACAAAAATGAAAGGATTTTTAGAAATTATACATTATTAATATTTGTCATTTATTATTAATAAATATGATAGGTCATTGTAGAATTGTCATATGAAATAATTTCACCATATCAAAGCATTTATTTATGGTGAACATGGATATTAATACATGTCTAGAGACTACATTATTCTCCCAAAGCCTTCTTACGGCTGCTTTAAAGCTCAGAGCTTACCCTTATGTGTTTACTGTTTACCTATCAAGAAAGCCATTAAATTCTTCAGTGTGATAAGAGCAATAAAACAATCATCTCTAGCCATCATACATCACAGTCAACCACTAGCTTCTCTTCGATCGAGACTTCCAGTAACCCTAAACTGTTATAGAGCCCTGTAGAGCTCTAAAACCATGATTTTAAGAAAAAAAAATTTTTTAAATGTTTATTCTCATCAAAGAAAACCATTTAAAAACTGATTAACTCACTTGAGAAGTTGGGTCAGATTTTCTTTATTTTTAATTTAAAGAGTGTGTGAGTAATCTTTCTACATAGTTATGTAAAATAAACAAATAAATACAAGTGTACTTTTTCTTTTTTTTTTCTTCTTTGGGAGTATTTCAAAATTTTAAAAGTTGCCTCAATTGATCTGTCACGTACATCATAATAATAAATAAAAATATCACATTCATTTTCAGCTAATTAAACAAGATGATGTTAAAATTGTGGGAACCATGTTGTGAGAGGGGAATTGTGGTCCAACAATGTGTAGCATGATAGACAAAGCCACAATAGGCCTAGTTTGCGGTTCTTCTGCTCTTGTCACGTCATCTTCTCAATTCCATACGTGGTCACCCAAATCCTGCAATAATTAAGTACTCGTTTTGCCCCTCCAGACACTTCTTCATTTATAATTAAATGGAATGCGAAAAGTGTTGATTATAACGCTCTTCTCTTAAATAAGCAAACAAATTATATTTATTGGCATTTATAATATTTGGGGTACATGTATACCAATTATGAAATAATTGGGGGACATTTATAATATATTATAATTTTTATAATAAACACACTTCAGGACACCAGTGAGTAAGTGAGATCACCCCAAGCTGCCCAAATTTTTATTGCATGTTATGAATCAACTCAAAATCACTGATTTTTAAATATTTTCATTTCTAAATTCCTACAATTTACTCCAGTAGGGCATTGTTGATTCATGATGGTTACTAGGAAGATGGGGTTTAATGCTGACTAAACACTGCAGTATTGTGACTTATTGTACTTTCCAAGTTTTTTCCAATTCAGTTCGATTGACTTAAGTTCTTATTTTAAGAAGGATGAGGCATTGACTGTTGATGTTATAACTCATAGGTTAGCATTGAGCAGTTGCTTCCCATTATGACAATATGGGTGGTCTTTTCTTGCTCATTACATAATTTACAAGAAAGCTTAAAGGTTTTTAAAAATATTTTCAGATCCGAGTGACTGGAATTTCACTCTGCTAGTTTTTCAACTTTTGTTAAGTAGCAATGTTGTAATAATAGGTAAGTAGGCACTCAGTATGGAAATTTTTCTTGTACATTTCAGCAAGTTTCTCAGCCTTTTATTCCCTTTTTTATAAGAAATATTTAATCTATTTTCAATTGAAATTAAATGCTTGTACATAGTGTTTATAATTTCATTCATAATCATAGAATCAGGAAGTAGAGTGTCTAAAGAAAAGGAAGGACTGACACAAATACCAAAATGTGTGTCATAGGTATGATCCCCATGTAAAAGGTCAAACCGCCCCAAGGATAATGAAGTTTTTAAATAGAACACTTGTCACCTAGATTTAACAGAATTAGGCCACTTTCAGCCGGTAACTGTCAGAAGGGATGATTAAGTTTCATCCCCTTTCTCCGTAGCCCCCACCCAAGATCCGTCTAGCACCCAGCCCTTACCCCACCCTAGCCAGCCCCTTCCTCTTATTTACAAACAACTTGTTTGTATTCTTTCTGCCAAATCAATTCCGATCTTGCTCCACAAAATCCTTTCCATGTTAATCCGACACGCTCCATTATCTATTAGATTAACTACACGACCGAACTACCAACACAATTTTCTTACAATCAATACAATTGTTTTAACAATTGGCATTTTTATTATATAATTGGTATAAATAAAATCTCTATAGCATATATAATTCAACAAACAAAATTTTTTTGTTTTTGTTTTAAGAAGACAGTTCTTTCCTCCACTGCAGTCTAAGGTCTTTTTTGGAACCACTACAGCTTATAGCCATCCTTGGAAGTGCTCTAATCCTTATAAAGTTGAGCACTTTCCTTGGTGTCTCTTCGTCACATCCTTGTTGCATTACTGTAAACGGGCTAATGCTTTATATCCGCAAAGGATATGTGCCGATGTCTCTGGTTTCTACTGGCAGAGCCAGCATGTTTCGGTCTCAGCTCAACTATCAGCTTAAGATGATAATTAAGAGGGCAGGTAGCAATGTTTTCCACAGTCTATTAAATTTTGTTACTGATGAAAATTTGAAGTGTATACCAATATACATATATATGAGGATGCAGGAAGTTTAACTTGTACTCCTGTCCAGTTATCATTTTTTGTCTATTCTCACTATTTTTGTTTGTAAGGTAGAACTCTTTTTGGTGGTTGGTCTATGCCATCATTTTGACAATCTATAATAAGTCTTAGGTATGATCTCAATATCTGAAAAGTTGCTTAGAACAATAGCAAAACTAAACCACCACAAAGTTTCTTCGTACTGGCCCATCATCTCATTGCTTCCAGTAATTTCAAAACTGTTTGAAAAAGTTGTATTTAAAAACCTGAAAACCTACATTGCTAGCCATCATTTCGGATCTAGAGCCAAGCATTTATCCATAAATCAGATAAATTCACTGATATAATGAAGAAAAAAAACCTGGAAAATAAAAACACATGTTTAGCTTAATTCCTAGACATATTGCAAGCCTTTGACAAAGTTTGGCATGAAGGTTTAACACCTAACCTAAAAAAATTCCCAAAACTATACCTTGAACTTTCGATCTCAAACCTTTTGAAAACATTGTTCTAAGTTAGACGAATACTCTGATTTGCCAAAAATCTAAGCTGGTGTATCACAAGGTAGCATCCTAGGCAATGTATAGTACTTGTTACATACAAATGATCTACCACAGATAGAAAACATTCCACAGCTGCCATCCAAAAGAACCACAAACTGACTGCAAATGACAATAAACGATATCCAAAGTCTGTACGAATACTTGGAAGATCAAAATAAACTACCAGAATGCATGTTAAATTCATAAATAGAAAATTAGTTGACAAACCAATCGTCTTCAATGGTAAAGATCCACGCAGAATTCAGTAAAATATTTAGGCACTGTTAAAAAATTAAATTGGAAAGAACTTGACTTCAAATACTGACAACATTATTTGGTTACCAAAAATTAATTCTTGTCTGATGACACTAATGAACGGGATTAAGTGTATTTAATATTATGTACTGAAAAATGAAAAGCTGACACCCTGACTTGACCATCTTTGTCCCATATAAAACTAAAAATTAATAATTGATATAAGTTAAAAATAAAAATGTATCATTTACATAATGCTTTCAACTAATAAAAATGCATTATAAATTTTTAAATCCTTATTACATTATTATGCACGAGAATATGTAGATTACACAATTTCAACTAGGAAATTACAATCATAACAAAAATATTTATAAAATGAAATAATTAAGTACCAAAATGTAGTTGCAAGATGGGTGAATATTAAAAACATACTGGTAAAACATACTTAGTACACCTGTTGTTACGTAACAAGCATACCTCTTGAAATAGAAATGAGCAAGTATTCTTTTAAGCTATTCACTTTTGGATATTGTCCATTTTGCTCTTATAAATATGAAATAGCAAGAACAGTACCCAATTTCAGTGAGTTGTATTTTTTTTAATTTTTAAATCCGATAAAATAAACACTTGAAATAAACAAAGGCTCAAATACGTACCAACTTATCGAGAAACGAGACCCTCCTCTTCTTCTCGACAAGTGGAGCTGTTTGCATATTGTCGCAGATTTTCATTACAGAACACTTCCCTGAAGAATTTCATTAAAAATGACTTTCGATGAATTTTGAAGCAAATGGGAAAAACAGAACTGAAATTCTGAAAGACAACTTAGCACCGAAGCCTAGCTGAGACTGCCAAGTCAACTGTGTTTTACCTAATGTCAGTGCCAAGGGAGAGAGAGAGAGAGAGAGAAACAAATTATTTCAAATGGGCAAACTATTTCAACTCCCACTTTGATCGGAAGTTGCCAAAAGTTGATTCCCCATATAGATCTATCTAATGAAAAAAAGCCATTCAAGTGCACTCAGACAAATAAAATTGACATAAACACAAATAAGAAATTATTAGGAGCAGTATTAAAAAACTCTACAAGTGGTGTTTAAAATTACCATTTATTTCCAAAAAAAAGTTTAAAGATAAAAATGATTATTTAATTACGTTAATCTTGCATTTCTTTATTTTATTTTTTGTCTGTTTGTTCTTTTTTTTGTTTTGATTATCCTTCTGCTTAGCACATTGAGTCGTGCTGGAAAAATGAAAAAAAAATTTATCATATCGAACAACGTTTAGTAATAAATTCAAAACATACTTAATTGTAGAACGGACACCTGGCCCCCAGAATTTGGTGGGATTCATTTGGTATCTCAAAAGGCCATGCGAACGTGACGGTGCGTGTGGGTGAATATCGAAATTGACATCTGGTGTCAAATCGTCGCTGTCTTTCGCCATCAAAAGAGTCTTCGTCAAGATGCAGTTCAATCGTTTTTCAGAAATTGGATTAAGCTTCACCCAATGTCTTATCACTTTCCAAATAAAGCTCGTAGGGGCGTCTGTCTTTATTGAATTCGGCGCAGCATGAGACTCCGAAACGGAATAGCCTGCATTCAATAAAGCACTCCTAATTGACAAAATAATTATTATTTAAATTTAAAGAAACTGCTGCTGATGTGAAAATGTGTAAATTACATGCATTTTTCATTTCAAATTATATTCAAAATTTAATTAAACCTAACATAATTATCATTAAAATGTTTTATTGAAATTCCACATTTGAAAACACTTTCATTTACAATTTTTCCTCTTTTTATGGAATAAAAGTTGGCCTTTTTCAAGAAAAAGGTAGTTTTTAAATTAATTGGTCAAGCGGACCATGAAAACTAGCGAATTTAGTAGTTTTTAAAGTTCCAAAATTCTCCGATCATATGGCTTAATGCAAATCCTTGCACTTCGACCAACCTGGCAAACATATTGGTTTGGTTTTGGAAGGTTGGTTACAAGAGTTATTTGCACCTGTGATATAATTGTTTATTTCTGTCTTCATCCTGAGACAAAGAACACTTGGCATTCAAACTCAAATTATTTTTATAACGCCTTAAATTGTCAGCAAATGATAAATTAGAGATTACATTAGCATTTTATATTAGCACATTAATGGACGGGTGATCGTTTTATCACAATCTTGTAATTATAATTACACATCATTTTATATGCAACTGAAGCTAACGTAAATTTAGATATTTTGCAAATAATACCTGAAAGTCATTGAAGGCATAACAACGCAGTGAACAACGGCACAGAGAGCATCAATTACATAATACAGAGGGATATCAATCAGTTCGTGGTAGATTGTTGAAAGCATTCCTAATATCCGTTTGCTCGTATTGAATCTCTCAGGTTTATTATCCACTAGCTGTATTACTTTTGAAACGAATGCCTGATCGTGTAGAACTCCTGTCCAAATTGGTCCTCCCATCTTAAAACAAAACCAAAAGTTTAAATTGCAAATGCACCACAAGCTGCCATTCGAACCTGATATCCGTGCTGGCAGTGAGGACAGTCGTTTATGGGTTCAAACCGAGGAAGAGTAAAAAGCGGTACAGTTCCCTTTCTTTCAGTCACGACACCCAAGGGCTGGAATCGGAATGTTTTACATCCAACACAACGAAAAACATAACTCAAATGGCTAAAAATAAAAAGTATTCCATAAATTAACAAAAATACTATTTTCTAATGTGATATTATATTGTATTAATTTTGAAAGTCTAGTATTGTACAATATTTGAAAAACTGCTGAAGTTTAGGTGAAAATTATAGTATCACTATACTATACTGCAAACAAAATATAGTTTTTTAAAATATTTTTGATATATTATTCAATAGAATAATTTTAATGTTTAAATGGTATAGTATATTATATTAATTACGGGTCGACATGCATCTATTGAACAACACCGGCTCTCTGCACTTAAAACATAAAATTATTAGGTTTTTCAAACATCTCTCTCATATTTTTCTCTTTTTCTTAACATGCCAATTTCTCATTGCTTTGCTACCTCAGATTTTCAAATTACTAATAGAAATATAAGAAGACATTCCACAAAGACATACATACACATCACATAAGATTTTCACACTCTCGGCCCAAGACCCAGTCAAGGTGCATCAAGGAAAAGTTAACAAACAACATGGCTAAAACATGCTGCAGCACCACCCCCGAGTTACTGATATTCCTTGAGGTGGGGGATTCATCGTTCATGCTAATAATATACATACACACTAACAATACATTTAAAAACTAAGAGAAAACAGTGGCCACATGGGTAGGGCATCCAACTCATAGTTGCCTTTGTTCTTGGTTTGAATACAGCTTTTTAATTGATAATAATACAAAAAAATGTATTATAAAGGGGTGTGTGGTGTATCATGACCATTAGTAAATGATTATTTGGAGATCGTGAGATGTGGTCTGGGGTGACAGGTTTTAGAAAAACATTTTCTTTATTGTGCCAATGTTTCGATCTTTATTGAGATCATCTTCAGGGCCTGTGATTTATAAACATTGTTTAGATTTTAAAAATACATGTAGGATGTGAAAAAAATGAATTTATACAATGCTAAAAAATTTTAGAAGCAAATTTTTAGAAAATTTTTAGCATTGTATAAATTCATTGTTTTTTATTTTAAAATTTTCTAGCATTGTATAAATTCATTTTTTCACATCCTACATGTATTTTTAAAATCTAAACAATGATTATAAATAAAACCTATGTCACACCAGGCCACATCTCACGATCTCTGAATAATCATTATAAAGAGGTTTGACCCTTGTCAACAACACCCTACTGGTAGTGGTACGTTAAAATGATTAACTTGAAATATCAAACTAATTTAAATAATGGTATCCCCCCCTACTGTATCCTAGGAATTACTTCACTTTACATTTAAAAACTTTGATGGTACTAAAGTACTAAGAACAGCAATCTGTCTCCAAAATGCCACACATAGGCCAACAGGGACCCCGCTTGTCCTGCACATTTCTAGTTTTCTGCATTGTAAAAAATTCTCAACACTTAATCTCCTAGTCCATAATGATCGCTGATGCAGTCTCTTTCCCACTAGCACGTGTCCAAGCATAAGCCTAGTATGAAATATGTTTAGCCTCATGGGTATGGCTCTTCTCGACCTGACCTTCACGGATCAGGGGCTAATGCCAGTCTTTATCTGTTGTAATTTGGCAGAAATCTGTGTCCAGAGCTTTCCCTGTTTATCTATGATGGGATTCGACATTAATATTATCATCTCTGCTAGGAGATAGGAATATTTAAACATAATTATAATATAATTTAAGAAATTCCAGTCTAACGTTTCTAAATGTTCCAATGTCATTCAATTTGTTTATTTGTAATATTTTATTCTTTTTTATTTTATTAATTGAATTATATTCTTTAATAAGCTTAATGTACCTAATGATTAACTTGATCTATCAAACTAATTTAAATAATGGTAATAATGACACAATTGGTCTGAGGTAAGGAAAGTATATGAAGGTAATGAGCCTACACTACATGAAAAAACTATCCATTTTTTTTACAAAGTTTCATAAGGATATTCTGTCAATTCGGATATTCTGTTAATTCTGACCTTTTTTCAGAACATTGTATAACATTTTGGAAGAGAGACAGTGGTAACCGAGTGGTCAGCGTGTCAGACTACAGAGAAATTGCACCCTTATGTTTCAGAAAGATTTTAAAACACTTTGAAGTAAAAGCTAGTAGGTTTATGGAGCTTTCAGTTTAGAGTCAATAGTTGCTATGTTATATTAGATTAAAAAGAAGTTATATTCAAAAGGCGATTTGCAGACAATAGTTGAGCTGTGCAAAAAATCTCCTGCCTGAGCTGCCTCATTGCTTTGTACAGACTATTTCCAGCGATTCAAAATCGCCCTGAATAATCGCTTGTGCATGTGTAGTCTTAATGAATAGAAAGAATGTTTCGACAAGACATTGCTCTGGTCTTGTCCAACATACAAAGCAAAAACTTCCCAAAATTTAAGAAATTAAACATGTACATCACACATCCTATCATCCTGATCTTGATTCTTCAGACTAACTCTTTGAAGAGAGAAAAATGCTATAAAAATCCAAGAGGAGGTAATGCCATTAAAGCAACTGGCTGTGCCAATTTAAAATAATAAAGTTAATTTTAACTTTTGAAATATTAATTTTTTTAAACTCATTTAATATTTATGTGGGAAAAAAATGAATTTCAACAAACCTTGTTGTTTCTTTGCTTTTCAAAGCTGACGTGTATATCTTTACAAAAATTCTAATATAAAAGTCCACACTGATTGATAATAAAGGAACAATATATCGACCATATTTGTTTGCATGAGACTGCAAACATTGTAGTGCAATCCTTAGTGCCTACAAAATAAACATAGTGGTTTAATTTTTTTATGAAATATAAATAATTATGTTTCAATGAAATTTACCGTTTCATGACAGGCAGGGCTTTTTAATGGAATTGAACCGTATTTAACAAAGCAGGTTTCAGGTGTGTTTCCTGTGAGGAGAGCCATGTCAGTGCATGTTACCATGATGAGACCGCCGTCTTCCACGACCTGCACTGTCGAATCGAGGAACTTTGAGGGGCATCCATATGGATCAAGGTCAATACAGTCAAATCGTTTACCCTTAGCGTTAAAAGTATGCATTGCTGCTCTGGAAAAAAATCAGATAAAATAAAAAAAATCCAATTATATCAAAATACATACGATGCATCACTGTGACTAGTTGATACAATATGTTCAACATTGTTATGGATTATGTTAAGTCGTATGCTCTCTACGGCTGCTTGAGAAATATCGTTTGCCACAATTTCCCTTGGCCTCGGCTCGACTTCCAAGGCAAACCTGATTGACCTAAGCCCTGACGCAGAAAGGGGCTCGAATATAGATATCCCACTACCAGCATCATCCTGTCATACACGCATATAAATATAACTTTCTCTTGAGGAGAAAAACCATATAAGTTATGAGATACTACCTGGGAAGTAGAAGTTTCCTTGTTTCTCAAACTTTCACTGCCATTCTTCACCTCACCTTTGGCGTTTCTCTTTTCCCCTCTTCTGACTTTGTGTTCTTTGGAGAATACAGACAGAACAGCTATGCTGAAAATACAGATTGTTTATTAAAAAACAGTATTATTTATAAAATTAAATGAATGAAATGTCAATAAAGAGAATTCATGTGCGACCATGAAAGGAAAACAGCAGCTCGAGTCAAACTAGTTTAATATCATTGTGCTTTTATCACAATTATTATTAAATTTACTTCAACAAAAGAGAAAATGAAGGCTATAAAAAATATCATAATGAGATGACCCTAAATTTTAAAAATATTTCCCTCTGGATAAACAAACAATCAACAATAAACAAAACAAAAATCTTAATCTAGCAATTTTCGAAGAATAATTTCAAGCGTTCATACTAGAAAAGTTATAAAAGAAATTAGCTATTAAATAAGATCAGGAATCAGGAAAACTGGCACGAATAAACTTCAAACCTAGACAAGATTCAATTAAGTTCTGTTAGTACAAAGAAATTCATGATAATGAAAAATCGGTAATCAAAAATAGTATCAATTTTAGACTTTAGTGAGGATTACTTCCAAATTATTTTAATAGAGCACTGCCCAAATTTCAGCAGTGCAGATTAAGACTGATTTTATCAGATAATCTTAATTTAGACTTAGAAGTAATTATGATTCTTCTTACATTTGCAGATGCCAAAATTGCTTTTGAGATAACGTGATCACAAGCTATACATACTTGGGCATTCCCTTCTAATCTAGTTGTGGACAATGCCATTAAAAAAGTGCTCCGAGCTTTGGGGAAGGTGAAGGAAATTTTAATTAGAAGCAAATTAAACTCGCTTATAACGAAGATAAAATTGTTTGAATCGATAGTTGCTGCTTCATCAATGCAAGACTGCGAGTTGTGAGGAAATGGTAATTTGCATTGTTTAAATAAGCAGCATTTTTTTTTTTTTTTTATAATAACTGTTTCCAGAAGTTCTCCAAACCACTACATTAGAAGAGTTTGGTTTAGAGGCAGTGAGTATTTAAATTTTTAAGAGGATTGTTCATTGGTGGATACGTGTTTTAAAATTACCAAGGATGGGGGATGTCATTCTGCATTCTAGTCTGTATCTCACTTTATTTCAAAAAAGTAAAATTTGATTTACTAGAAAAATCATGCTGTTTTTGTTGTATGTAGGAAGAATTCTTAATACAAAATATAGTCCGATACACAGAAGAGTAATAAATTTAAGTAAAAGTATAGACTACTTTAACTAGGATAATGAGACAATTTCATAGTAAAGGGTAATTGCACAAATACGGGTTAGCTGGCAAAGAAAAAAGCCGTTTTTATTTTAATGGCTAGACTTATACAGGGTGCCTCTACTCAATCCACTTCACCAGCACATTCTATGGTCCAAATGGAAGAAAGAACACCATATTAGCCATGGTCTGATTCTCAACCCTTTCACAGATATTTAACTTTTTTTTAATTTAATTTTTTTTAAACTACCTATGGTTTTCATTATAAATCTACTCATAGCTCTTGAGCTATTCATTTTTGTGGGAAAAAACATTGAAAAAAGACTTAAATTTACTTTAAGAAGCACCAAGCAAAAAGTTGAATTACTACATTCACCCATTCCCCCTTTTTTCACATTGCCACCACTTTTGTTTCCATTTAGCATAAAATTTCTGCATTTGGTTCAATGTAATTAAAGAAAAGGGTGTACCACTAGAAAGCTTATTAAACAAAAAAAATTTTTATGAAAATTACAAGCCCTACCATAAATTTTTCCAATGAGCTTGCAAATTTGTTTTTTTTTTTTTTTATACCCATTTTAAATTTAGCAGCTTTTAAAAGATTTAGTGTCTGTTTTGTTACCAAAAATTAAATTGAAAAATCTGGAAGGGTGCTTTAATTGTTTTAATTTTATATTAGTACTAATTGTCTGTAAACCTAGGACCTAGATCGACCTTGTCGTGGCATTCTAGTGTGAAGCCCTTTTCTCTGAAGCACCGAAGAACCTTTCCTATTGTAAAGTGATATACACTCATTCTCCTAGCGACTCAGCACTGGCTATATCCTTCTAATAACATTATGACCCTGTCACTTTCATACACTCCCAAAGGCCTGACTGTAGCCATTGAAAAAGGTTTACAAATAAGAATAATATCAAATGAAATCAATAGAAAGAGATAAGCTGATCTTTAGGCATAACAGAATGGCAAGTATAATGCATAATGCTACTTTTTTTGCAAATGGGATTAATCAGTACAAAAGCAAACAAAGCATTATTTACTAATTCGTTGAAATCTTGAGGATCAGTCATGATGTCATATTGCTGCTCATAAAAAATGAGAAAGGGATTTTTCTACCTCATTCTTGACCGCTCCTCACGACTTCAACAAATTATGAAACAAGTCACTAAGAAACACGCATTATTTACGGTTTATTTTGACTAAGATATCTCCTAATTACCTGTAACTAATGTACAAAGATAATGGATTTAATTTTAAACTAAATAGTTTGAGTGGTGCGTTAAATTTGTCCATTAGTGTATTAACAAAACGTTATTGACCTCATGACATGAGTCCTCTTCAAGTGTCATGTCATGAGGACGCAAACATTTTATTAATAAATAAAATTCCATGCTGCAGTATACGTCAAACAACCTACAATATAAATAATAAAATTATGAAAAAAAAAATTTAATTATTAGTTTAAATTTTTTTCCATGTATGTATCCATTACACTAGATTAGATTATTTAGGAGCCGGCCTCATCCCAACCTGTGCACCGCGACCAGTATTGGTCTATTGTGCATCTCCATGTTTTTATCTAGAGCTCCCTGTTAGCTTTTTACCAGACTCCAAAGCTTTTTCAAGGGCTACCGTGTGTATCCTTCAGGCCCTGGCTTTTCCTCTACCATGATTAGGAATCTCAGCCTACATAGACCTTCGCACCGACAGAATACATCAGTTGTTTCTTCTTCTTGGCAATATATGCACAGGCTTGTTTCTGTCACTCCAAGTCTTTACAAATCCCTCCGGTCTGCAGTGTGAGTAAGCAGTCCAATTATTATTCTAGTCCTAGCACGTCTTAGTTCTGCTGTTGGTTTCTGCGATAGTGCTAAAGATCAACTTTTTCGCATACCTCTGTCCCAGGCCGTTCCCATTGAACAGAGGAGTTATTATTAACCCATTGTCTAATCATCTGCCACAAAAGGATCTGAATAGGGGCCAATAGGTGTCCCCATCAAATTTTCCTTGGTCAATTTATCGGCCTCATCGTTGCCCACCATGTTGCATCCATACAATACAAATAAAAACCAAAGAAAAAATGTAAAAACTAACAACCGGCTGAACATACTCATCTGGTTAACTGACATAAATTAATGATTAAATTGTTCTAATTTTACCTAAGATCCCTATTGAATTCCTGTACAGGATTGTAGAAGACTCGTCCGTTTCTTGTTAATATTTCAGCTTTTCCTTCTTTTATAAGTTCAGCCTCCTCGTTTTCTTTTTCCGTCTTGGCAGAACTGGAACGTTCCGAGTCCGTCACTCCACGAGACACGTTCATCGTTCAGAACCACAACCTTATTTTACTTAATAACAATAACCTTCATTTTACCTTTCCAATGCTGTTAACTATTTATTATTAGTGGAAATTAACATTTAAACTGTTTTTTAAAAATAAATATAATAATGTTTTGTTTCGAGGGAAAAAAAACATATTTGTTTCTATTTAAAGGCTTAGGGGATTATAAAATCTAGCTGTTGCGTGTGGTCCAAACAGGTTTAAATCAATCGAGATGTTCATACAGATTCATAAAGAAAAGGGATTTTGATAAGTTTTCTATTTTAGATATAATTCGTTTATTGCTCGGTTATTAATTAGTTAATACTGTTTTTTTATGTTTAATTGGCAATAGGTTATGCTTTTTTGATTTCTAGTACGAGCCAAGAGGTTTTTTTTCTGTAAAATTAAGGTGAGTATTGTGTATGTTTATACTGTTGATCTTTTTATATATAATGTTTTAATAAATTAACTGATTTTATTTTATATAAATGTTCAAAGTGTAGGTTAGACTCAATAAGCATAAAGTTGTCAAATATGATGAAATGGAAGACAAGACATTTTTTATTTCGGTGACTAATTAAACATCAATTTTCAATTAAATTAAACAATTTATATTGGGAATTGAGATGGTTTTTTTGTTTTTTTTTAAATCAAAGACTTTTGTTTAAAAGGAAGCGGGAAGCAAGGGAGAAATTAGTATGATAACAAAAGCCAACCTGGCAGTCCGTACACTCACCGTGGTTGTTGTTGTTGATACTCCTTGGCCGACATTTCGTTCGTGTCGCTTCTGCGGCTCAGGCGCCTAGAAACATTTGGTCGAATCGCTGTCCGCACTTTTTACTCTCTCCAGATTTCAATCCTAGAGCCGTAGTGATGTAAATCCTCCTCCTCTCAGGATGCACAGAGGAGAACTGCTCAACGGATTCACCTCCGAGGAGGATTCGAGGGGGCCGTCCGACCAGACGTGCTCCCTCGTCGAGGAAAATCACAGGTAGAAGCAAGGGATTTTTTTTTGTCATTTTCAAATCCTCATCTAACAGATTTTCACGTTCTGACTTATTACTTTTCGCCCTAGACTTTTGATACACGGTTGTTAAGTCTCGTCGGTTTCACAAACAATATGTGACGCACGGTGAAAATAACGTGAAATCAATATTTTACTTGAGCGAGACTGTTTTTCCTGTTAATTTGATATTCTAGACGCTTAAAAAGCCTTTGAACGTGCTACCTATTCGATCCATTGCTCTCAATCCTTTGTTCATGGTGACGTCCATTTGTGAACAGGCCATTTGGCCAAGAATCAAAAAATTCACTGTAACCAGAGCCTTCATTCCTTTTTTTTAAACAATTTTTTCTTTGTTAATTCATTTATTAATTTACAACTGCACTTTAACGTACTGTGTGGACATGCACACAAAGTACCATCACACAATAGGACAAGCCCAAAACCCACCAGATTAGTCAATTTAGTTGTAAGTGTACGAATGCATATTTCTTTTCCTGCAAAACATTAAAAATTGTAGTTTGACGTAAAAAAAATAATATTGCTTCCTTATATCCTGAATGAGGGGGCTGTCCGTCTGGGTTGGTGTTGGCAGCTGCTGGTTGGCTGCACACTGGCAGGCTGGCTTCCCTTCTGTAATATAGTTAACATGTGGTAGATAGCTCCGCCGAAGCCAGAATGAAAAAATGTCAGTCAAGGGTGGTTGTCAAATTATGTCTATCCTTTGTTCATGGAAATGTCCATTGGTGAACAGGTCATTTGGCCAGGAATCGCCGAATGCACTTTACCTGGAGTCTTCAATTTTTTTTTATAATAATACTTTTTTGCTTATTCATTTACAACTGCACTTAAAATTTACAATGAATATGGCAGGCTGGCTTCCCTTTCTGTGTTATACAGTTAATATGTGACAGATGGCTCCGCCGAAGCCAGAATGAAAAAATGTCAGTCAAGGGTGGTTGTCAAATTATGTCTATCCTTTGTTCACGGAGACATCCATTGGTGAATAGGTCATTTGGCCAGGAATTACCAAATACACTGTATTTATTTATTTTTTACGTACTACTTTTTTAAAATTCATTTATTTATTCATAACTGAACTTTAACTCTACAATGAACTTACTGTATGAACATTCACACAAGGTACCATCACATAATAGGACAAGCCCAAAACCCAACAGGTTAGTCAATTTGGTTTGTAAGTGTACGAATGCATATTTTTTTTTCCTGCAAAACATTAAAAATTGTAGTTTTACGTTAAAAAAATAATATTGCTTTCTTCCTGAATGAGGGGCCATCTGTCTGGGTGGTGTTGGCAGATGGCTCCTCCGAAGCCAAAAGGAAAAAAGAGTCATCCGAGGGTGGTTATCAAGTAATACAATCTTGTTGGTGAACCAAGGTCCAAATCAAACCAGATTAGTCAATATGGTTAATGCAAACTAAAACAAAATGTTTGTGATCGAATATGACAAAACAATCTCAATGCACATTGCATGGAGAACAGAGTCATTTGTGAACCGTGGTAGTGAAGACTACTTTTCTGTGTACAGTCTGATTATGTTTATGAAGAAATAGAAGATTGTGTCCCAGTTTTATCGTTGGAACACTAAATTGTAATCCCCAAGACAGATGAGTATTTGGTACATCTGTACCATAGCATAGATAGTTGTCTAACATCTGTCATGGGTGGTTGTCAAGTGATCTTATATTGTTGATGAACTAAAGATCAATTTGATCTATTGATGTCAATCCTTTGTTCATGGCGATTTTCATTGGTGAAAAGGTCTTTTGGCCAGGAATTGACAAATGCACTTTACCCGGACCCTTCAATTTCTTTTTTTTTCTATAATACTTTTTTTTATATTCATTTATTTCTCCTAGGAGTTTGATAAAGACATCCATCAGGTATATTTCAAGTGGTTGAAGAGGCTACCTAATGTTGGTCATTAATGAGTGGCTCACATTCTTGCTTAAGCCAGTTATGTTTTTTATATAACCTTATTGCATAAATTGATGTTGTTAATAATATACAAAATTTAAACTGACATTTAACTTTGTCTTACAGATGCCATAGAAAGGCAGGCAACGCATCATACAGCAAACGAATCCAGAAAATTGTAACCCAGAGAAAGCTGAAACTCCATTTGGACCAAGGCGCAAGGCACATATACATCTGTGACTACCACAAGTCTGTTATTCAGTCAGCCCGCTCCAAACGGGGCAACAACAAGTACTCCGATGATGACTCGGATGTCGAGCAGATGGAAATCGACCTTTCTCAGCTCTCTGTCAACACGTTGAGACGATACAAGAAACACTTCAACGTCAACACAAAACACGGTCTCAACAAAGCTCAATTGGCCGACAAGCTCACCCAGCATTTCAGGACCATACAGATCACCGACAAGACGGAAAAGTCCATTACAAATCGTTTCATGTACTTGATGAGAATCAACGGGAATAAGCTTGACCGGAAAAACGGTTCGGACACCACATAGCATTTAGAACTCGGCCCCACTCAGCGGTCCGCAGTCAAAAAATTCATGAACTGTACAAAAATTGTTAAGCATAACTCATTATCTTAAGTGGCAACTTAAAATTCCTTTAAGTTATCTTTTCATGAAATTCGACTGAAATCTTCCAATTTTTTTGTTTTTTTAATTTCTATTTATTTTCATATTATATTTATGTAATTAACTTAGATGTAAAGCAAATATTATTTTTGAACAACAATTTTTCCTTTAATATACACGTCTTAGTCCACTTTATTCCTTTTGTAAAATTTAATATTTTAAATACATCACTAGTGTGTAATTGCAATGTTTAAATTTCTTTACTTTATAAATATACCTACTGTCCTCATTTTCTTTTGAATTTGAACTTTTAAAAAAGACAAGTGTTCTTTGTTCAAAATTAACTTTTTTTTTAATTTACCTTCTTTTATGTACAGTGTAAATATGTATGTATTTTTTTATCATATGAGGTATATATTGTGCGATATGTTACCAATTAAAATGTTTTGGTTCAATTGTTACAATTTTTTAGACTGGCTTAGACCAATCGTGTAGCTTTGTCTTCAATCATCTTGGTGTGCCTATGCACATTTCTGCATTTCGCAATCTTCAGATCAGAAGAACCAGACTAGGCAGACCAGGATGATAGACAGGTTCATCATCTTGCAGACCTCAACACAATATCTCAAATCATTTTTATAAGGCGGCTTATATTAACTTAAAAACAATTTAAACTTTCAAACCAATTTTATTGGTTAACAGTGCCTTGATGGAAAGTGGGCTGTTGATTCATATAAGCATATTGTGAGCAGTGGTTGAAATTATCGACCGGCTGATTGGTCGCGAAATGCTCTTCTTCGCACAACAGCTGTAGAATCTTCAGTTTAAATGAAGACTTCTGGAGAGTCGGTATTCTCTTTAGCGGCTGTAATAGACTCAGGAGGAAGTGATAGTCCTCGTCAGTGTTCATCACCTGGTTCATCGTTGAAACGACTTGTATGTTTTTCATTTTTTTTCTCGATCCGTGCCCCTCGTTTCTTGAACTCGCTTCGAAAACTTCGTTCTGCACTATACAATTGTTTGTATCATCTATAAAAAAAATCTTTGTTATTTACAATTTTATTTATGTAAAAGAAAGAAAATTGAGTTTTATATTGTGCCAACCAACTAGGCATTCGTTAGACGAAGAGTTTTGCGCTGTAACAATCTGGTTCAGAAAGCTCATCGAATCAAAATAAGGCCATTTGACTGGTAGAGGGCCGTCATTGAACTTATGCTTAATGAATTTCTTGTACTCTTGGGCAAACATTTGCTTAAGGCATTTCCATTTCTCTTTTAGCATATCACCTAGAAATAATTCAGCATCATTATCATTGTATCGATTATGATTATTTATACATTCAACTTACTAGGGAAACCCAGCGTGACGGATATATTTTCCCAAGCAAAATCTTTAAGCTTTTTACTAGAATGTTCTTTCATAGTTTTGTCCCATAAAACACCGTGTTTTTCAACTTCTTTGATCAATGCTACAATATCTTGCACGGTCATCTTTCTTACCTATTGGACAATATGGCACATCAATTGAAGAATTAAAGCATCAATTTATGTGATGATGATATCCGATTTTTTTTTTTTTTTTTTTTTTAATTAGTTTTTAAAATGATATGGACTTAAGCAAATATTGGCCAAAAAATAGGCTTTTTCACTTTTTGGAAAATAAAAACATCCAGACTTAATAATTAAAAAATGTATACATTAATTATTATTAAATGGCAAATATATTAAACTACCAATAAAAAAATATTTGTAATAAAATTTACGAAATTTGTTGGGGGGTGTTATTGCCTAAAGCTCTGCAATAAAGTTATTTTCATAAATTAGACAAACATTTCATTCCTCTTTTTATCTATTATAAAGACTAAATAATTACATATTTAATATTGTTATTGTTCGAATATTAACAGTTTAAAGTTCAACATTTATAGTACAATTTATGATAAATGTTCTGAAGTACTTCAAAGCAGAAGAATTTTTGTTAGGTAAAGTATTAACACATTTATTTTTTCAGTTCAGGGCTTTGAAACCACAAATGGATTATAATACTTTAATCACTATTGCCAAGGTTGCCAGTGCAATTCAAAAACCAAGGTCCTCTAGCCCTAATTTTGTATCACAGAAGAAAGTTAACACTAAAAAGCCAAAATGTTACTTGTGCCTGATGTTCTTAGCAAATTAGAAAGTTTTTTTTTTTTACTCTACTTCAATCTCGCAATGATCAGAGGAAATTCCAAACCACTTACCTTCACCACTTTTGTCCCCTTCTCCATTGCTTTAGTCTTTACTTTACAAACTGTTTCTATTTCCTTTGAATTTGGGGAAAAAATTTTGAATCAAAAATTTTTTATATTCTTAAAGGAGGAAAAACAATTTTTTTGTATCAGCTGAATACTTTAGAGAAAATTGGGTCTGTTTTACAATATAAAAAAAAAAACAGCAATATATTAATTAATTTTAATTTTTTTAACCAGTTTTACAAGGTTTTTATATATTTTATTTCTTATAAAATATTAAAAGCAATTTAAATATTGAAAAGTGGTCCAAAATTTGGGAGTTTAACAAAAAATAATGCTATATTTTAAATATTCTTATAGCAAAATTATATTTTAAAAAGTTGTCATTTAAATTAACAGACTTCAAAATTCTGCTATGCTGATTATTTTTCAACTTATAATAGTAACCTAGCATTTCATGTAAATTAAGTACAATCTATTACATCATTAAATATTATACGCTTAATTTCTTATTAGTATTATAAACAGCTGATATATTCTTAAATTTCCCAAACATACAAATTCCAATATACAATGGCGCAAGAGTCAAAAGAATCCATCGACACTTTATATTCAAGGTACATCAACATGTCAAACCTCCTCGTCCCGTATCTATCACATTCAGGTAAGGACACAAATTCATGTGCAAGTTCAGCATTTTCATTGATGTTTTAACAACAAAAAAAGACAAGTATCTGGCACGAAAGTGGATAATTTTCGGGTCGAAACTGCCAAGAGAGTCTGGTACTGCGCCAGGTGAAAACCGGTTCAGATTTGCGAAGCATCTATTCCAAGTCATTAAAGACGAAGTCTATGCTACATTTTTGGAGTCGAACGTTGGAAAATCATTGACGCCCGATGAGAAAAACAACCTTTGGGTAATAATGAAAAACAACTTGGTCGACAATAGTGAAACTGTTCAGCAGGGTTCCTTTGGTCGAAAACATAATTATTTTGGCAACATGCTGACATGATACAACAAATATAGTAATTCAATGTTATTATTTTAAAAAAAAATCCTTTAATGGCATCAATTTAATTTTCCAATTCTCTAATTTTAAAATGAAATGAAATTCCTTTTAGACTGTTGATTTATTGATAAAAAAATGTACATTTAAATTTAGTGCAATATTAGTAAAATTCACACAAGAATATTAAGCGATAAGTGTTCATTTTTTAACATGTTTTAACACCAACGGGACCTGCCTATCAAATTTCACATAATAATTTGGAATTTTAAATAAAAATGCCTCATGTCAAGGAGGAGCTTCAAAACCTGGGACAGACGGACGACTTTGTGGTCAAGTCACTGAGTCGGTTGCATGAAAAGAAACAAGGCGCCTATATGAGCATGTGGTCGCCGGACAAAAAGACTTACATCGCTGCAAAGCCCATCCCTGGAAAAGGCGCTTTGGTTTATTTAGCTGTGGCCGAAAATCCCGACCAAGGGTGGGACATGCCGACTTCAAAAATTGACTAATCCCATTGACTCTTTTTAATATATTTTGATATATAAATTTATTGTTTTATTTAGTTACAACGATAAAAAAAACTCTTCCACAGCCATTTGTTTAATTTCTCAACAACCTTGCTTAATGACTACTGCATAATAATAATAGTAGTTGCCATACTGGTGGTCCTGAATGGCAGAAATCACTTTACTTTTTACTTTTATAATAATTTATCCAACAAAAATGATGCACAAAAGTGTAAAATTAAAATTTATTTTCACTGTTCTCAAAATACAGTAACAACAACAATAAAACAATCACTCATTCATTGTGATATTTACTCGTTTCCATTGAGTATATCAACGCTCTGTCAGAGTTCAACTTATCGGGTGGTAAGCAGCATAAACCATTCGCTAGCGACACTGACTGTCCGAGACCTACAAACGGAAATATAAAATAATACAGTAATAGTATGGTAAATTCCCATGTAGATCTACTCATATTTTTGTAAACTGATTATATTTCTTTGGTTTATTTCTTACCCGTTCCACATGCAACAATACGAGAAGCAAGCCCACAATCTAATGCTTCTTTAGCGCCAATCTGCCTTCCAGTTAGCGCCCAATCTAAAGTTTTTCTTTGGCCAAACAGATTCATGAGATATTGAATTTGCCTTGGTGTCGTTAAATTTCCTTTAATCATAAATATACGTATATTGATTTTTTTTTCAGATTTATTTATTCTACTCGTCTATACTTGTTTTTCTGTTGAAAACTGAAACAAACGCTGTGTCTTCCATTACTAAGAGATCGCATCTAAGAGCAATATCCAGGGCGTGCCCTATTGCAAAACCGGAAATAGCAGCTACCAACGGTTTCTTGCAATGGACATCTAACAGTCCCTGTTGGTTTTTTGGGCTTTTTTTAAAAATAAGTTTTCAAACAAAACCCATTTTAAATGTTACGCACGGTTCTTTCAATTTTCTCAATCAGGTCTGGGTCGGCAGCGAGATCCTCCTCGTCGATGCCAGATGAGAAATTCCCCTTTTCGCCATAAATCACAGCAGCATTTGTCGAACTATCTTTCTCAAAATCTGAAATGACTTCTTTTAACGATTGAACCATTGAGAGAGTGAGGCAGTTCTTTTTATCCGGACGGTTCAATCCGATAAGCTTTAATGGCCCATTGTCCCGTACTAGAATTGCACCTTCTGTAATTATTTATATATTTTTAAAACAATAATAATAAAAAAATAATAATGTAACACTAGCCCACCTGAAATTGAACTTACTGCCCTTATGCTCCATGCTTTTGAAATATTTCTAAAAATTGGTTTTTGTATAATCATTTAAGAAACAATATTATCCCTGGAAGATGAGAAAATTCACTATTATATATTATGTATAATAATGACAAGTTTTATATATTACTTATATTAATTTATTTATAATATTGTAGTATATTGTAATTAAAAATAAACAGGGTTTTATAGTTTTACCCAAACTTTTTCCTCAACCACTGAAACTCAGTGGGAAAATTTTAAAGCAGGTATTTTACAAATTTTCATTAAAACTCACGTTTTGTTTTTAAATACTGTGGAAGGTAAATGTTCTGCTCATTGGCAGGAGGGTCGCACTCTTCAAGACTTCAACAACTTCCCTCTATGAAATTTATGAGTCAAAATGTAATAAAACTGTTTCCATTCCATTTTATTACTTATTGTACATGTAATAAAATTTTATACAAACAGTAAAATAGAAGCAACTCAAGTAATGGTGGATATAAATATAAAAAAACCAATATTTTTGAAAGTGTAAAATAAATATTAATAAAGTTACAAAACAGAGATAATATGTACATTTAATATATGTATAATATATACACTATTAATTTCAAATTTATAAATAGTACATGGCTATTTTATTGGTATTACCATCATGCAAATTTAAGAACTAAAATTGATGAAAAATTATACTGTATTTCTAGCAAAAATTGTCACTTGTACATATTTAATTACTTGATCTGTTTTGAAACGTATTTGTAAGATTTTGTCAAAATAAAATTTATTGGCAAATTTTAAAACTGGTTTGTAAAGTTCTAGAAGCAATATATGTGCCTTAAACCTTGTATTCATCTCCTCTAATGATATTTCTATGATTAAATTCATAGAATCTTTTTTTTTATTCCAAAAGAAGCTATTCCTTAAGATATAATTAATTTTCCATATCATGTTGAAGCTCTTCTTTTATAACCAGCTTTGGTTGTATCAAATTTTAATCAAATTTTCTTTTGAAAAGCCCAATTTCTTTTCCTCGGAATTATTAACTTTAGGATTAATTGAAAACTCATTAGAAAACTAATGTACTGTATCTCACAGGTAAATATCATGCAAATTTAAGAACTAAAATTGATGAAAAATTATACTGTATTTCTAGCAAAAATTGTCACTTGCACATATTTAATTATTTGATTTGTTTTGAAACGTATTTGTAAGATTTTGTCAAAATATAATTTATTGGCAAATTTTAAAACTGGTTTGTAGAGTTCTAGAAGCAATATATGTGCCTTATACTATTATTTACCTAAAACATGTTTCCATACCTTTTGTTTCCAGTGATAAATTAATCTGCATCCTTGGACAAATTTACATAAGTCAAAAAACAACTTTTCAGGACTGCAATTTTCAAATTTAGACCTTTGGTAGAAGTAGTTATCAAAATGTTTCAAGATGTCTAAAAAGGCAAATTGCACTTAGGAGGAAATTATTTTGACTTAATCAATTAAACACAGGCCTAAAGACTTACTGGAATATGCCCTTAACTCATTTGGCCAAAATTCTATTCGTAACGTACAGATAAACAGAAAGACTTGTCACCTCTTCACCATTTAAAATGGACTAATCACATAAAAAAAGTAAAATGATTCTTATCATCCAAGAGTGCTTAACATCCAACTAGGGTACCATGAACAAGGGGTCCCACCACTTTATAATACATTTTCTGTGCCATTAATGGTTAAAATGCCATGGGATCTGGCGAGATCATATATTAGACTAATCACATATTTAAAAAAGTCCAAGTTGAAGCTAACATTTGGTTTTGTTTAAATATTAAAATATGAATTCCAGGTCTGAACGATATTAGTTATGCGTATCAGAGGATAGATAAGTTATGTACATTTATTTTGTACAGATTTTTTTTCCCATTAGGTCCAATATAATAAGCCATAATCAGGCCATTGAAATATGATCACATTATGTCATGGGAAAAAATAATTTACTCTGGTGCAACTTTTTTTAAGAATTAAATTAAATTAAGCAGTTGCAGTGCACCATTGTAATGAAGCGTAGCATTACTGGAAAACTGATACTTTTTCTCCCACGTTTGTGAATCAATTGTATAATTTTTAGTAAATCAATGTTATTGCAGTTTATGTTTAAGATTTTTTGTTAGTTATTGCAAATTTACTTATTAAATATGAATAATTTGTTTTTTCTAGAAGTGTTTTAAAAAAAGCCAGCACAATTTTGAAAATTATTTTATGCTGGGAATACACCATTGTTGTTTTTTGTAACGTACAAGGCTTCTTATTTTTTGTCTTAAGAAAAAAGCACTAATTAAATTGAATATTATATAATAAGCAGCAATAATTTTGGCCAAAACAGGAAACATTTTTGTTTTAATTTAGGTAATCCCTTGTTAGCTAATATCCACATTATTATTGGAAAGCCTTGTTAAATATTAATGTAAAACAGGCCTTCAAAAGTTTTTTTTTTACTGTGCGTGGGTGTGGGTAGAGTTGTGCAAGAAGTTTATTATTTTCAGTCTGTGGGAAATGAGAGGAAAGAAACTGAACTAGAAACGAGCCTATATTTCATGTGAGGGTAACCCAGGCATGAAACCAAGGGCAGTTGGAGTTGGGACAAGAGTCTTAAGAGAAGGAATTCTTAAGAGGCAGTGGGGGGAAAGCCAATCCATTCAACTTCTCAGACCCCCATTTTAAACCACGTTTAAAAGCAGGATGTGAATGTGTTTTTTTACCATACTTGACCCAGCCATTAGCCATGTTACTGCCCCTTGTTGAATTTATGCCAATTGTTGTGGCTTTAGTTTTTATGTATAATTATGAGAGCGTAGATCCGCAGAAGAAGCCGCGCACTTTGCGAGCAGATGACCTGTTTGAATACTATGACTTCATCATCGTAGGAGCTGGATCTGCTGGTAAATATTTTTTTGTATATTTTTTTGTGCGTGCAATTTCTAAACGATATCTTAACATAAAAATATAATTTCGTAATGTTATATGCAACTATTGAAAAATTACATTAAATTAAACAACTTATATGCTAAATGTATAATTTCAATTTAATTAAATATGTAATTAACAGTGACATTTAAAAAATTTATAAATAATTACTACTGACATTTAAAAAAATCCTTATTTGTGGTTAATTTTATGATTTTAAAAAATCATTAATCAAATACTCAATCATTTTTGAGACATCCAATTTTTAGTAAAAAAGGATTGATTTTTAACTAGATCATATTTACAAGAAAATATAATAAAAATAATTTTAAATTACATATTTAAAAATGTTAATTAATGCTATATTATAGCATTTTATAAAACTAATTACAAAATTTATATTTGATAAAATTATACAAATACATACATAGTACTAAATGATTAAAAATTTAATTTATTACAATAAAATTAAAGATTAAACAAATAAATTAATTAAATTATAATGTATAGAAATAGGAAATAATTATTTTTAAATTTTATATTACTATGTTTGTATTATTACAGTTGGAAATTATTGTCTATGTCTACAAGGATAAAAGTCCATACTTTTTTTTTTGTCCCTAATAGTAGTGGTCAATTATTTATGTCACTCTGATTATTAACTGCTTTTCTTTTTGAATGAAAGTTTGAGTTACTCAATACTCTCTCTTAGGTAATTGTTTCTCGAATTGCACTGTTAAAAAAGGGCCTTATTCATTTTTCAAACCCTTTTTGATTTACCTTTTGTTATTGTTTAAACAATAAATTAGCTAAACATGTATGTTCAACACTACCGAAAAGATTATTATTAGAATTGAATCAGTTAATTAAAAAATGCTCTTTACATTTAAAGAAAAGAATGAATATGAATTCAAGTTTATTAGCTTTGATTCTTGTTGCCTCTGGAATTTTCTAATTAGTTTTTTAAATTTTATGGTTTAAACACTATTTAATAACTTGTTAACATCTGTGATAATTTAGCGTAACTATCAAATATATCAAAATACAATGAAAAAAATCTTAATTTGCATATATTTTTACTTGCTATAAAATTATTTTGATTCACACCAATGAATTAAAATTTTTTCCTTGTTTCGTTCTTTATTCATTACTTAATTATAGCTGTTTTACATATCTGCCAATTTGCTCCGTATCACTTACTATTTTTCCTAAAACTAATTTATATTACAGCATTGTTTTATTATTTTCTTGCACAAGCCACTAGTCCAGAGAGGTCCAAATGAACTTATTTTGACTGACACACTGGTTTATTCTTTTGTTTTAAGAGAAAAAAATTTCCCATACACTTCAATATGATTGGGATTTTATATTAATTTATTTAAAACAATTTATTAGTATGACTAAATGGAAAAAATATTCTCTTTTAATTAATGAACCACTTAATTAAAGGAAAAGCTACTAATTATAGAAGTATACCAAATGAAAGACACTGAAGATAGGCTAATTTACAACAGAGGTCATAACAACCCTGGGGCTCAAGTGGTTTTGGAAAAAATAAAAAAATAAATGATGATGGTAAATGATGATAAATACCCTGTCAATGCTCGAATGGATAAGGTCACCGAAATAAACTCAAATAAATAATAGAAAAAGAGTATTACACACAATTTTTTCTTATCTTGCATTTGGTTTGTTCTATTGTTTTAAGACTATAAAGTACAGGTCCTTGAATTGGAAACTGAACCAAAACTAATAGTTTTTAATTATTTATTAATTTAATTTCATATTTTAATTAGTAGTTCAATGCATCAATTAATTTATGCTTATTTTTTTTACTTATAGAATCTTGAACTTTTTGTTAAATTTTAATTTCCTTCTAAGCTTCTAAGTTGCAGATTTTGCATTTATTTTCTGATTCTCTATGTGTATAACAAATAAGTACAGAATACAGAATATTAATGATTATTTAGAGTTCGTGAGATGCGGTCTGGTGTGATGTAAGTTTAGAAATACATTTTCTTTATCATGCCAGCATTTTGATCTTTATTGAGATCTTCAGAGCCAGGCTCATTAATCATTAATTAATGGTCACTAAATACTACACAGAATATTAAGTTAATTAAACTTAACTGAATATTATTAAGTGTAATAAATGTCTTTTTCTCTTTCATTTTACATAAATTAAATAATTAATTGAAATTTTTAATATTATTTATTTAAAATAAATAAATAAATAAATAAAAGTGAGATAAAGAAATAATTACAGTAAAACCATTTTTAGCCGTGCTCAGCTTAACCGAAACCTGGATTAACCAAAATGATTTATCTAAAAAATGGTGTGCGAATGGTGTGTTATTGCAAAATACAGCCGCTAATTATCAACAGTGGGTAAAATCTAAATCATGAATAAAAATGCCGAACTGCAAGACGATGCTAGCTAATTATGAATACATTAATGAAACTCTTTTTCTCTGGTTTATGTTTTGGCTACAGTATACTGTACTTCGTATTAATGGATCGTTTGGTTTTAATGGGAAATTGTGTTTTTTGGACAACTTTTACCAGATACCAACAGCCTCCATGGATTATCCGAATAATTGCATTATCTGAAATGGCTCTGCCCTTTTAGTTTGGTTAAAAAGGGTCCTATACTGTATGAATCAATATATGAACTCTGAGAACCTGTATAATAAAATAATTAATTAATGAATAACAAAATAATGCAACATGATGAATGTTTGTACTTTGTATAACATTAAATTCTATACCAGCACAAAAGTTTTTACAATTAATCATTTTTACATATTACTTTTTATAAAAGTAAGATATCAATTCAATATATATTTTTGTTTGAGATTTATATTCAAACCCATGTTGCAAAAGGTAATTAAAATAATTTGCCAACCGTGATATACAACACTAGCATACCATGTCATGTTGCAACTGCCAAAATAAAACATGCGGCATTAAAATTCTTTCATATTATTATCTGATAAAAAAAAGATAACATCCTGAAATAGGAAACCCTAGTTTTGTAGACTATTATGTCATATAGCCTTCCAAAAAATTAATATTCTTTCTATTGGGCAAGGAGAAGCTCAGGGTTAAAAATTGTGTTATCCAAAACCGCTCCACCCCTTTAGTTTGGTTAAAAATGGTACTATTGTACGAATGGATATATGAACTCTGAGAATCTGTATAACAAAATATAAACATGATGAATAAAAATAGTAAGGCAAAATGATGATAGAGACAGTTTGTATAAAATTACATTCTATGCCAGCACAAAAGTTTCTACAATTAAAAAATCATTTTTACATATTACTTTGTATTGTATGTCAGGTTCGAACGCGGGGCCGCTGGATTCGTACCGAGGACCTTTACCCATATCCCAAAAGATAATTAAAATAATTGGGCAACCCCGAAATAGAACACCAGCACCCCATGTCAAGTCGTAACTGTCAAAATGAAACAGGTGGAATTAAAATTCATCCATATCATCTGATAAAAAAATACAACACCCTGAAATAGGAAACGGTAGTTTTGAAAAGCAGATTATGTCATAGGGTCTTAAAAAAATTTAATATTCTTTTTATTGGGCAATGAGAAGCTCAGGCTTTCTCTGTTCTCATGTTAATTGGTAAAAGGTGCTCACTTATTCTCTCTTATACTTCTCGTGTGAAATTACAAACAACAATAAAGCTTCTGATGTGAATAATTTATTATTATAAAATATTTTTTCGATAGTTTAAATATTAGATTCAATTAGTTATGATTTGAACTAATGCATTAGATGTTTGTATCTTTTTAAAAAATGTCACACGGATTTGTTGAATTCTCCTTTTGTCTATTTTAATAGTGATTTTGTTGGCATGTTACTTGTCAATTTGTACAGTAGCATTAAACATGTGGCATCAGAAGCGAGCATGCATGATTTTGAGAGCCAGAACTACTGAGCTCAGAGATAATTTATGCTTCAATAAGGAGTGAAGAAATACTAAAACAATTAAATCATGCTTTAACAGTTTAAGACATCTTAATACAATGCAAGAGAATTAGTTAAACACACCGCTATTCAAAGAATTTATAGGAAAGTGGATTGTCAGCTCTCCCTGCAAAATTTCTTGGCCGTTGTTAAGAATTCTCGTGATTTTTGATCAGCCATGAGATTATCTACATGGAAATGGAGCACCAAAATTCGATGGTACAGGAGCGTCTTTGGGATGAACCCAGACCAAACTGATGGTAAACCTGGTAAATACAGTTTTCCAGTCTGAAATCATAGCGATTGAGGAATGCACCAGAGAAATAAAAAGGCTAGGAATACATTTCCAGAAGATAGCCATTTTCTCTGATAGCCAGGCAGCACTCAGGGCCATAGCTTCATGCGATGCGAAGTCCAAGGCAAAGAGTGTTTGGAACTGCATGGAGGCCCTGACACTATGTCCTGACCTTGGCATGGGTCCTTGGACATTCGGGGCATAAAGACAACTAAAAGGTTTTCATGTGTGCCAAAAAGGGATCACATGGACTCTCTGGGTCTTAAACCCTACTGTGGCTTAGCAGCCTGCCACAAAAGAGTATACATCTTAAAATGGATCTTTAATGAGTCCAAAACCTGGTGGAATAATACCACAGGTATGAGGCACACGAAGAGATTCATAGAAGGACCATCCGCAAAACTTACAAAAGAATTGCTGGAAGGCAAATGTAACCGAACCAGGATTCAGGTTGGACTCCTGACAGGGCACTGCCACTTAAGAAGGCACATGTACCAGATAGGAGTACAAACAGAAAAAACACTGTGCAGATATTGCCAGGAAGAGGAGACCGCAGAACACATTCTATACTTCTGCGAAGGTCTATGGAGGTGAAGGTTCTTGCAACTAGGACAGGAAAAACCGCAAGCAAGATCCTACACTAAGGAGCCACTGGCAAAGCTTTGGAGGCTGATTAATAACCTGAAGCTGGACGGTGAGTTATAAATAACAAGGGAGCACAATAGACCTATTCTGTTCGAGGTGCAGAAGGCCTTGTGGCCACCTCTTCTATGCCTATCCCTATCCCTAGAGTTGATGACTTTGAGAGTTACATTTTGGGGGCATAATACTACAAAATCACTTGTGACTATTAAAAGGGTCTTAGGAATTCTTGGCACTAATGAAACAATGAGTTCCAACCTGCTTTCAACTCATGTAAAACAGATAAAACCTCCTGCTTAGATAAAATTTGTAATGAGCTGTACATTAATTTAACCCCTGTATGGGAACATTATGTTTTTAATTTATTTAACGAAGTTTTGGCTCAGGAGGAGATTCTTAAAAATTGGTTATTAATTGCACTAAGAGTGCTATTGAAAAAAGGAAATCCAAATGACCCGGTTAATTATGGAGGAATTGCTTTACTCATCTTTGGCAAAAAAAATTTATTTCAATAATTAATAACAAATTGAGTTTTTGGCATAATAAAAATAATGACATATTTATTTTAAGGAAAAAAATATTTTAACCCAGCACTGAGGTAGTGATGAGACGCTTGAACTGCTGTAGCCACCAAAATAAACCCAAATAAAAACAAACATAAATCATTAAAAAAAAATTATTATGTACAATTTTTTTTCTCAATCTTATATTTTGGTTTGTTCTATTGTTTTACGACTACAAAGTACTTGAATTTTAAACTGAACCAAAACAAATATGGCTGCTAGATAAATTTGAATGTATATATGTAGTTCAATACATCAATTAATTTAGGTTTATGTTTTAACTTATGGAATCTGGAACTTTTTGTAAAAATTATCATTTTTTTACTAAGCTTCTAAAATGCAGATTTTGCAGATATTTTATTAAACTCTGTGAGTTTATAGCACATAAATACAGAATACAGTATCTGAACTTAATTAAAAGTAATTAAATTTTTTTTGTTTGCTTAGCTTTACACACTGGTATGATCGAATGCTTCGGAAATCTCAAAAATATTAAATTGCATTAATTAAATATTATTAAGCATACTAAATGAGTTTTCTTTCTTTCCTTTGGAATAAATAAAGAATAAAAGTCAAATTGAAAGTGAAATATTACTTAAATAATGATACAAAATAGGAAAAAGAAAAGTATGAGTAAAGAACAATTACAGTAAAACCCTTTTTAAAACTTGGCTTAAATGAAGCGGTTTCAATCAAAAATGGTGTTATTGCAAAATGCACCCTCTAATTATGGTGTAGGGATATCAACATTGGGTAAAATCTAAATCTAAATCATGAATAAGTTGTAATGTGCCGAACTGCAATACGATGAAGTAGCTCATCACGATAAAATTAATCAAGCTCCTTTTCTCTGGTTTAGATTCTAGCAGTATACTGTTCTTCATATAAGTATTGGGTTGTCCGGAAAATAATGCAGGATTTTGGTATTAAACAAAAAAAAAGAAACTAGTTACTTTAAAGCAATGTTCTTTAATCAAAATAATTTCCCATACTCTCAATACATTTCTCCCAACGTGTTGGTAACTTATTAATTCCGTCTGAGTAGAATTCAGAATTTTTAGAATTGATAAAGTCAATAAATGCATTTTCCAGTTCCGTTTGATTTTTGAATATTATGTGTTGTAAGTAGTGGTCCAGGTGTCTAAAAAAATGGTAGTCAGTAGGCGAGAGGTCCGGAGAGTAGGGTGGGTGAGGCAAAGTTTCATAGCCAAGCTCCAATAATTTTTGTGACGTTACACGTGACACATGTGGTCGAGCGTTGTCATGCAACAAAATGGGCCCTTTCCGATTGACCAAAGAGGGCTTCATTACTGCCAATTTCTGATGCATGGTATTAATTTGGTTACAGTATGATTCAGCATTGATGGTTTCGCCAGGATTTAAGAAGCTGTAGTGTATTAAACCAAATGAAGCCCACCATACCGTAACCATTACCTTTTTTTGATGAGTTGGGGGCTTTGGAAAATGTATTGGAGCTTCTCCTTTGTCGAGCCACTGTCCAGAACGTCTAGTGTTATCGTAGAGAATCCACTTTTCGTCACATGTAACAATTCTGGCCAGAAATGGGTCATTTTTGTTTCGACAAAGAAGTGATGCACAAACATCAAAGCGCTGATTTTTTTGGCGATCGTTTAATGAGTGTGGAACCCAATTTTCGAGTTTTTTCACTTTTCCAATCGCCTTGAGGTGGTCAGCGACGGTCGTTTTACTGACTTTGAGTTGCTCTGCAAGTTCTCGAACAGTTGTTTTGGGGTTTTCTTCCACCACTGATCGCAGAACATCATCATTAAGAGAGGAAGGCCTTCCACGACCTTCTTCATCTTCAAGGCTGAAATCTCCCTCCCGAAATTTTTTAAACCACCTTTGCACAGTGCACTCATTAACACAACCCTCGCCCCAGACTTGGTTAATGTTTCTAGCCGTTTGGGCTCCGCTTCGGCCGAGTTTAAACTCGTAAAAGAAAATCGTACGAAATTCTCGCTTTGACATTATAAGGATGACTGAATTATTTCCAAGTAGCGGAATGCTACAGAGGTAAACAAACAATATCATTTGGAAGAGGATTAATAAGTGTTGACATTCATACAAATGAGTAATCCTGTAAACGTAAACAGAATATTTTATATAGATTTTTTTTAATGAAAACTTAAAATCCTGCATTATTTTCCGGACAACCCAATAAATACAATACATGGACCATTCAGTTTTAATTGTGAATTATGTTTTTTACACCTTTTACCTCATGGCAACAGCCTCCATGGATTATCCGAATAATTGCATTATCTAAAATGGCTCTGCCCTTTTAGTTTGGTATGAATGAATATGTGTGAATATATGAACTCTGAAAACCTGTATAATAAAATAATTAATTAATGAATAACAAAATAATGCAACATGATGAATGTTTGTACTTTGTATAACATTAAATTCTATAACAGCACAAAAGTTTTTACAATTAAAAAAATCATTTTTACATCATTGATATCAATTCAATATATATTTTTGTTTGAAATTTATATTCAAACCCTTGTTGCAAAAGATAATTAAAATAATTTGGCAACTGTGATATACAACACTAGCATACCATGTCATGTCGCAACTGCCAAATTAAAACATGCGGTATTAAAATTCTTTCATATTATTATCTGATAAAAAAAGATAACATCCTGAAATAGGAAACCCTAGTTTTGTAGACTATTATGTCATAGAGCCTTCAAAAAATTAATATTCTTTCTATTGGGTAATGAGAAGCTCAGGGTTTCTCTTTTCTCATATTAATTAGTAAAAGTTGTGCGCTTATCAATACCTTCTCATGTGAAATTACAAGCAGCAATAAAGTTGTCCATTGTGAACATATATACAACTCCCTCTTTAATTTAAAAAATATATTATAAAACTCTTTTTAATACTTTAAATATTAGATTCAATTTCAATTAATTATTCTTTTTATGTTGGTCTTGGTCGAGATGAAAAAGCTAGGGGTCACAAGCGGGATTCGAACCCATGACTTTTGGCTCAATATGCCTCTGCTATCGTGACTTCAATCCACTGAGATTCCCCATCTCAACCTACCTTTTGAATTTTCCCTCTTTTTGCCATTTTTCCATTAGATTCAATGTTAAAAATTTGAACTAATGAATTACATGATATGATACATCATTAACTAAAAACTAGTAAAATAATGGTAATAGTTTGCGTGGAACACTAAAATGTTTGATCATTTGCCATTTAATTTTTTTATCTTTCAACTTAGTGAAATTTGCTAGCATCAGGTTGTATTTATTTAATTGTGGTTTGTTTTACCAGTCTACTGATGTACAAATAGTTTACTTATATAAGATGCAAAACATTTTGAATTTTATTATTTTTTTATAATTTATTTATATTATTATGATTACAGTTCAAGATGGTTTTTATGAAATTAATATAGTTTGTGTATATAAAAAACAATTTTTTTTTCTTTTAAAATAACAATATTTAAATGAATCTTTGGCATTTAGATTTGTGGTAGTAACAGTTCTTTTTTTCATTTTTAGGGTGTGTGGTTGCACACAGGCTGAGTGAAGAACCACAATGGAACATACTTCTGATTGAAGCTGGAGGTGACGAAACAGCCATAACAGACACTCCATTTCTTAAGCTCTTTCTTCAAACGGGCGAAACTGATTGGAATTACAACACAACAATTCAGACCAGAGCTTGCCAATGTATTATATTATAAAGTGAATCCCCACTTATGAAATTTTTTAAATTAATTTAATCCATTTTCAGCGGTCCAAGGCCAATGCCGGTATCCGAGGGGTAAAGTATTAGGTGGTTCAAGCACCACAAATGGTATGGCGTATGTCAGAGGAAATCCGTATGACTTTGACAACTGGGCTAAGATGGGTAATAAAGGCTGGTCTTACAAGGATGTCCTGCCTTACTACAAAAAGCTCGAGAATTACACAGTATCAGACTTGTTTCACTTGGAGCACAATATACATGGATTAATCGGTCCACAGAGTGTCCAACTGGCGGAATTCTCGCCGGAAATTACTGAATACTATTTACAGGCTACAAAAGAACTTGGTTATGAAGTGGTGGATTACAATGGACACAGCCAAATTGGAGTCGGGCTCACGCAGGTATTGATTAAAAGTCAATTTGTTAAAACTTTGTATTAAACTGTCTTCTTGTTTTAGTCAACAACGTTCCAAGGCTCAAGAGCAAGTTCGGCTAAATCATATTTGAATCCAATCAGACACAGACGTAATTTACACGTAGTGAAAAATTCTGAAGTTGTCCAGCTGCTTTTTGATGGTCATCATGTGGGAAAACCAACAAAAAGGGTTTCAGGAGTTGTTTTTATGCAAAACGGTAAAAAAAGGGTTGCAAGGGCTACAAAAGAAGTGATTGTGTCTGCTGGATCAGTTAATACACCCAAGCTCCTTATGCTTTCTGGGATCGGGCCTAAACAACATCTTCAATCACTAGGGATCCCAGTCATGGCCGACCTGCCAGTAGGGAACAATTTTCATGACCATGTCTGCGTCCCTATTTACATACAAGTCAAAAAGCCGATAGTTATAAGAGATGAAGAAGTGTTTTCAAAAGAGGCCATAATCAATTACACCAGGCATAGGTCTGGTCCTTTATCTACCTCCACATTTGAAGCTTTAGGCTTTTTCAATGTATTTGATTACACATCTCATGTTCCAAATGTAGAATGGCATCTTAATTCATTTAGAATGGTCAATGCAGAGGAGCCAATGAACATAAAACCGAATGTCGCAAGCACTATTGTAATTAACCTGACACCTGCAAGTGTAGGTACAGTAAGACTCAGGTCTGCAAACCCAAAAGACGATCCTCTAATTGATCCAAACTATTTTAGTGAAGAAATTGACATTGAAATACTTAGAAAAGGTATTTTGCTGAATCTTGAATTTTTCAGTACTCCTACTTTTTCGTCGTTATATCCAGAATTCTACACGCCAGCGTACAGGAACTGCTTGCATTACATCAGTATGAAAGAAGCTTTCATCGACTGTCTGATAACACAGTACTCAGCGACCATCTTTCATCCAGTTGGATCAGCAAAAATGGGCCCAAAGGGGGACCCTACTGCAGTAGTAAGTCCTGAATTGATTGTGCACGGTTTTGAAAACCTCAGAGTCGTCGATGCTTCTATTATGCCGAAAATAACAAGAGGGAATACAAACGGTCCCACATTGATGATAGGCGAAAAAGGAGCTGATCTCATCAAGGAGAAACACTTAAAAGAACATTTCGAATATGATTATTTCGGGCAGCCCAATTTCTTCTCCACTTATGTTTAAACGGTATAAGGCGTTCGCTGTGTCATTACATTCAGTTTTCAGATATTTGGCCATATAATTTTAGTTGAATGAAGTGGCTTCTCATTAATGCACTTTTATCTAGTCACTTATATTAAAAATGTTGGAACAAACGTGTTATCTGATACAAACTTGAACGTTACCTCTCCCCCTCCAAATTTAAATTTTAGTAACAAGCATAAACATTTTAGCCCAGTCACAATGAACAACATGGAAATATGCTTAAATGAAAAAAATCCATAGGTTTTTCTCATATTTCTTAAAAGATTTAAAGCAAAATAACTTCTTGAAACCTTGAGTTTAAATGCGTAATCTATAAACGTAATCTATAAGAATACGCATATTTTAATAAATAGTTGCATTCTGTAAAAAGAACATAAATTTTAGTAATAAATTTTCTACCAATTTTATTTGTATCACCTTCCTTAAAAGAATAAGTGCATTTTTGGACAATCTTCTTATTTAATAAGTCCACAGAACAAATGTAAAAGAATTGTTTTGTGATGACTATGGCGGGGCCTTGAATTTCTTAACATTGCATTGAAATTCAGTTATGGAGTTTCTTTGAAGTTGCTCAAACGGATATTGGCCTTCCTAGGATTACTTGAGTAATGTTTTTCTTGCTGGGCTAAAACAAAAACTAAATTATGATGTGAAAATGGGTTTCACTATTTTTTTTTTCTTTGGGATTTTGTGAACTTTGTACACAAATTTACCAAACAAGCTATACAAATAATACATAATAAATTTAAAGGTACCACCAAAAGGTTACAAAATAAAACTACAATGCCTTATAAAATATATTTACGATGCCTTTATTATTTTTCAGTATGCTATAATTAATAATATAATAGTATAATTTACAAATAACAATTATCCTTAAAGGCTATTAAAAACATTAATAAATTAATTTTTAAATCCAAGCAAATATAAAACAAAATATAGACAAATGTTTAGAAGAAAAACCTAAATGTTTTTTATTATTCTGAATTAAAAAAAAGAAAAGGTAAAATAGTATAAACAAAATTATCCAAAAGGAAAATGTTACACTGCCTTGGGTCTATTTAATTGTCACCTTACCGATCAATTCATCACAAATTTGAGTAAGCTCACGGACTTCATTTTTCTTCTGCTCTAAAGCCTCTTCAAGCGATTTAATCTTAAGTTCAGCCTTCTTGGCAACAGCATTCATTTTCGCAGTTTCCATCTGGTGACTGCTAACCAAGTTTGCAATCTCTTGATTCGCTCTGAGATGGTTAAAATGAAAAAAAAAAAAAAAATTAAAAAGAAAAGAAAAATGTAAATGTAGTAATTCAGGGAAATTATTAATATTTTAAAACAAGTAGGTTAAATATGGCAAATATTGCTTTCCTATCTATTGTGAAAATAACTAAGGGATTAAAAATTTTGGCTAATGAAAAAAAAAGTAGAACAAAATTTTGTTTTGAGGTAAATAGAAAAGGTTTTTGTTTTTGTTAATTTTGATTTGGGATATAGTAAATTTCTTAATATACACCAATTAGTTTTACAAAAATCACGTTCTTCAACAAATCATGTAATAATTTTACATGGGCAATTATTTTAGTAAAAGATAATATTAGTTATTTTTTATAAATCACCAAATCATGAAAAATGTATTTTGCCTTCTAACTATAAAATATTTTTTATATATATTTTTTTACACCTTTTGTTATTTTTTTTTATGGTTTATGTTCACCTGTTAGATAAGAAACAGAACTCATTATGTATAAGTAAAATAAAATATTTTTTGTGTTATAATTTTTATCAATTTATCCCTAAATTCTGAAAAATACTATTTTGTTAAGATACTATTTTTACTAAATTGTATTCCACAGAGATGCTTCCATGAATGGACACGAGAATGGTAAAAAGATAAATGAAATATTTATAAAAATAATCAATACAATTTTCAATTCAAAGATAATGATTACTCACGCTTGCAATTTTTCTGAGGCGTGATGCTTAAGCTTATTATAATTAGCTTTTTGACGTTCTATTGTTTTCACGTGCTCTTCCAAGCTGTCTTTGAGTAATTTTTCATTGCTGTGAAGAGTTTCGACAATAGACTTCACTCTTTCATATTTCCTAAGATAAATAAAAATAAACGTTATTAAAGAAAAAACAAGGCCTTTTTTGATTTATTGTTCTGAAACTTACGCGTGTACATCATTAAAAGCTACTTCCATATTGTTCAGATGAGAAACTGCTGTGTCCCTCTCTTGGGCGATCTCATCTTTGATCTTCTCGTGTTCATTCTTCATCTCTTCTTTGTTTGTTACAAGTTGAGAGATGGTTTTCTCATATTCTTCCATAACGATGCTAAAATGTTAAATGTTTAAAACGTTTTATAACTGTTGGGAAAAGATTATGAGTAAGTTAATTGAATCTTACATAAGCTGTTTGTTGCTCGCATTGCTTTCACTGAGCTCTTTCTGCAGCCTTGCATTCTCCGCCTGCAACTCTTTCAACCTTTTCTCAAGATCATGTTTGGGTTCGCGCATTTCCAGTTCAGAAAGACGCTTCCGCAGTTTCTCGACCTCATCTGTCTTTTCTAAGAGCAGCTCCTGGTGAGCAGCCTCCTGCTGGAGCATAAGCTCTTGCAGCTTGGAGATTTCTTTACTAAGAAACTCTTGTCTAAGTGTTGGAGTGCTTCCCTGAAAACAATCAAAATGGAAATACATATTTGTTTTGCATTTACTATGTATTTTACTAACACTAATATGTGACTGTTATATTATTTCTTCTAATTCTTATGTTATTGTCGCACAAAATAATTATTTAAAAAAATCAGTACAAATAAATAAACAACCACTTTAGCATACCATTTTAATTAGAGATTAAACTTACTTAACAAAATATTTATAAAAAATATATATTATTTTCTAAATTGAACTAAAACATAATTAAAACCTGATAGAATGAAAGGCGTTTTGTTGTAAATACAAAAATTAAGGGTTGAGAATGTGTAGTTAACAATAAGACTGAGCTTTGGTTTTAGAGCTAAGTTTATTCAGTGTTCTGACAGATGGTGGAGACAAGAATAGACTAAGGTGACAGGGGCCAGATGCATCCTGCACCTAAACAGTCTCCCACCAAGTCTAGTAAACATAAGTAGCCCATTACTAATGTGCCAGAGCATTAAACCAACCTGGGATTTGGTACTGTTCGGTGTGGAGTTAGTACTAGGCTGGTTTTTAGATGACAGAGGTGTGATGGGTACAAGTGTGGCATTCCCTGCTGCATCCTTTGGCGGAGTCCAGGTTTTTGTGAGAGGTTCATCAGTTGGTACACTGTGAAAAAAAAGATCCAAATTAAAATACGATATGTTTTGTTTTCTTTTGGAAGTTTCAGAGGAGAGCGGACCAGAGTCTTGGAACAATAACTATCCCCATTTTAGAAGGATGGCCACCTTGACCAGAATGTCACTGGATCTATGCAATACTTAATAAACTGAAGGGTTAAAATGGAACTAATCAATATACCGGATTAAACTACACTTAAAAAATCAATTTACCTTAAAAGCTTAATTCTGACCTATTTTTTTCTTAATTCATAAAACATTGTGTCCTACAAGTGGCATTTTAAAATATAGTGATTTAGTTATAACTATATTATAAAATCAAACATAATATTTAAAAAAAGTAGACATAGTTTTTGATTATTTAAATTTTTTATTTATCTGTCGATATTTAAATTGTCTTAATAACAAAATCGCAACTATATTTGTACTATTTTTCTCTTTTACATTAGTATTATAATAAATAACTTAATCACAGCAAAATGTTGATTGAATTAATCTTTAGTTGTTTTTTTACATTGTACATAAAATTTAATAGTTTGACCACTTTTTTTTTAAATGAAATGTGCCTTTTCGTCTGCAGTTGCTAGCTCCCAAAATGATCAAATGTGATTAAACGAAGATAATTATTAGTTGTTAATTCTTTTAAAAATAAAAATACTGAATTAAGGCAGTTCTTATGATTCCACTTTTGTTGACATACAGTTTTTGTCCACATGACCCAATAAAAATTGATCAACTTTATTTGCACACGATTGAATGTGCTTTCTTATACATACATGGTTCTAAACATTTTATTTAGTTTTTTTTTTTTTTTTTTTTTTTTTTTTTTAAATCAGCAATAGTAAGTCCAGCAATCCATTTCTTTTACGATAGAACTCAATGCATTTTCCCTCACATCTTTATTTTTACACTCTTCATTGTCATGTTAGGCAGTCCAGTTCATATATATATCATATATGTTAGCAACTTTTGTGCCAAAGTCGCCTCATAGTGCCTCATAATCCGAGGCAGTATGCAAAAGTCCTAACTTTGCAATAGTGAACTCGGTAATTTCAATTTCTTTATCAATAGAACAAAATGTTTTTCAAATCTTTAATTTTAAAAAATACAGTGAACCCTCCAATGGGACACTTGTTTACAGAACAGTTCTAGAACAATGGCATGGAAAATTTGTTAAGAAACACTGTGAGAAGAGGAAAGGCCAGATTAAGTTTTTTTTTAATTTTCTTACGTGGCGTAAATGGCCATTAATTATGTTTCAATTCTGTGAATTGGAACATTTCTGTGAATTAATAGAATTGATGAAGGTGAGGTGAGTTTATAGATTCCCTTTTTGTAAATGATGGTTCTCACAGATTAATAACTTAATTACATAATTATATATTTGTGAGAAAAACCATCATTTACAAGAAGCGCTACTGTGATTTTGTTAACTTCCCTCCCTTCACAGCCAATCTTATCTGCTTTCCAATATTGTTTTCATTTTATGATTTCAATTTAAATTCAAATTTTTTAATGTTAACATGGCTTCGACCTCCTAAAGGATGGGTGCTGGATTCTTACAAAAAAAAAAATTGGATAACTTAGTGTAAGAATTCTAATAAATTAAAGCTTAACAAAATGTTAGAAGGGGAAATTTTAAAAGATTTGAAAAGCTATGTCTAAATCTTTACACCTCTCATGCAAGCACAACAGCATATATGCAATCATATGAATAAAAATCTCTTTTCAGAGGACACCTTCCAAAAGAGGAAAAAAGTGACACTATGATTGTCCGTTAGTGAGAGGTTTCTCTGTACATAAAAATACAAAACATATATAATCTGTCATTTTTAGTTGAATATGAAAAGTTAAATCGTGAGAATGTGCCTTGCCTTTATGAATATTCAATAACAAAAATGTCATTATTTTATTTTTATTCTATTAACACGATATTTGCCTTCTTGATGGATGGATATTAATAACCATATTCATAGGAAATATTGAAAATAATTATATTTGATGTTTTTATGATAAAAATTTAACTAGTTTCTTACTTTTTCGACAAGTTTTTGTTACCCGAGTCAGGCTTCAGAACATTAGGATTTAGCTTGACCAAACAATGTTCATCCATTATTTCTGAAAGCTCAAAAGGTCTTTCATTGGGTGGCCTACAGAAATATTTATTTGAGATTGAACACAATTAAATTACCAATATGGAAACTTTGTATATTGCAACCTTCATTACGTAAAAATTCACTAAGAAAAACTGTAAATTAATTTTCTTGATTTTCTAAGAGTTCTTCTGTCTTCTGGTGATATTGATATGTTTTTCCAGCATTATATATAAGTTTAATTAAATATATACATAATTGTATATTTTTAAAAAATTTAAATACATTTAGAGGCATTCATGAGACAACTTGAGTCTCAAATAAACGTTACTGAGAAGGTTGGTGTGTCTCAAAATGCTTTTAAATATATTTTATAATAATTAATAACTTTGGATAAGCCTACCAATATCAACCAAATCATGTGTAAAGCAATTTTGTTTTCGATGGAAAAAAAACAAACTAATTCAACTGTACCCAATATTTGCGTTACTTTTATTAATCCATATTTGCTTAGTGGTCAATTGACCGTATTAATCATTCCAATTCAATCGAAAACCTTAGATAAAAAGAATACTTAAGTTTTACTTTATTTTTATAGTTTGCTTACTCTTCCAACAATGAGAGAAGGTTTAACTGTTTCTCAGGTAAGACAGGAGGTTCAAACTGGACCAAACTATTATTTATTGTTACTTCCGAAGGCTCCATTGGTTTATTGTTTGGCCTAGAGAAATATTGAAGATTGAACACAGCTTTTTATCAAACTATTGTAATTGAACAACTATAATATTTCTTCTGACATCTTGAATTGCATAAATATTAAAAGGTGACTAGAAATCTCTTTTAATTGATTATGTGAACATTAAAGTCCTTACAATTGAACTTTAACCTCAACTTTGCAGCAACAAGAGGATCTCTAAATTGATAAAAAGATAATTTGTATTGAGTTATGAAAGTTTAAAAAAAAATTAATTGTGAGACTGATAAATCTGTATATTTTCTGCTCTTTCAGAATCTTTGGTATTTGTTTTCTGTTTCAAGATTTCCAAACAAATTTTATTTGCAATCACATACAACACTGATAAAAATTTTCCCGTAAACGCCAAGATGAAAGATAGCTAATATGCTTACTTGTCTGACATTGCGCTGTCGTTAAATTGTTCGTCAGCTTCGACAAGTTTTCCAACGAGAGGATCAAACTTGAGAAAAAGAGAATTTCTAGTTAGATTCGAAGGTTTCAAAGTCCTTTGACTGTGTGACCTAGATAAATATTCAAGATTGAACACAGTAGTAGCGTTCTGAAAATCTGAAACAAGCATCAACATAGAATTATTTAACTTTGTTTAAAAATTAGGATTGAGTTTAATTACTAAACACAAACTTTCGTTAGATATGCAGTGAAATAATATTATAACACTAGTTTAATTTCAAGTATTAATTAAGGTAAATTGTACATTAAATATAAAATTTAAACAATAAAAATACAAACAAAACGCAAGATCGATCAAAAGAGAAATTACAAGCACAAATACTAATTTCCTAAATGCGAAATGCCCTGCAAGATTTATGATTGTGAGTTAAATTATGTGAGTTATCGATATTAAAGAAGCACCACTTTACAGCACATATAGTAAATTAAAAAAATTAGTTATCAACCCAAGACATCTTCTAAAGCCTTTTATCCCCTATCAAAACTCGGAAGAAAATACACACAGACTCATACAATATTAACATTATTAAAAAACTCACAGTCTGACTTTTTAAAATCTTCGTCCGCAGTGATGGGTCCAGCCTCAGAGTTGTTGATCTCTGCAGGCAGAGATGATTGCATCATACACTGTAAAATATTATACAAATTAACATGATTGAATCATAGCCAAATTGGGAAAACTGCATTCATTTATTAACTCTGTAAATTTATTGTTTAGATTGCCTTGCACTTTTTAAAAATATTTTTTGTTTAAACGTATTTTTAGAAATATATTTTACAATGTTATTATACAATATTTTGCTTAGTTTGAAAATCCTGTCCAAATGTTTTTCAAGCCTCTCCACCATCTAAAGTGCACCTCTTCCCAATTTAACAAGTCAATTCCTTGGATTTACAAATTTATCTTAACCTAAACTCCTGAGCGTAACAGAAACTATAAACAGGTGAATATTTTAAATAGCTTAAAACTATTTGTAGTTGTATATATACATTTGCAGACCAATCCGTACATGAACTATAAATTCGCAAGAATGGTACAGGGTTTAGAACGTTGGATTCATGGCATACCACCACCTGTCAGTTTTTCTGACAAATACAAAAGAGTTTCGCAGTTCATATCGGGTTAGTGTTTTGACAGTACCTTTTTTCTCATTCGCAAATCCCACCTTTTTTTGTATTAATTGTGCCCATTTATGTATGATTTAATTATTAATTTTTTTAAAAAATCAAAATCAGGCCAGTGTGCCCATTTATATCATTTCTTCTTTCACAAAATAGCTATCACTAGTCATACTGCTTGTAACCAAGTAGGATTTATTTCAGATACAGTTTTATTAATAAGACCTAAATAGCATTATTTTATTAAAAATTGCAACAAGGGAGAGGGGGAGAGAGAGAGAGAAAGGGAGAGAGGGAGAGAGGGGGAGAGAGAGAGAGAGAGAGTGAGTGAGAGAGAGAGAGAGTGAGAGAGAGAGAGAGAGTGAGAGAGAGAGAGAAACTATTGTCATAATTATTTGATATTCATTTGTTTCTGTTCATGGATTGTTGGAAATTTGTTAAGAGAAATATTTTCAACAAATTGTCTTCAAACGGTTTGGTCCCAAATGTATATACACCTTAATAATCTATTTTGTTCAATGGTCTACATTCAGAAATTAGAAGAAATTGCCATTCACGAATCTCAATTATATTTGTTCACCATTGTGTATGCTTATCATACCTACATAATTTCACCTTCTTTAATATATGTAGATGTATTAGTCGGGTGTGTATTATACTGTCTTTAAGAGCTGTATCACCCGTTATGTGCTTATAGCACACTGGTGAGTCCTAGTCACCAAGGATCCAAGTCTAAATCATCAAGGAACTTGATTAACCTTCTTTTATAACTACATTAAATAAATTTTGAAGCATATATTATGCTAAAAAACACAAAATAAATAATTTAAAAAAGTCTCGAGTTGTGTGAAGAAGAAATCAATCCAGTTATTAGTTTTATCTTTTTTTTTTTTTTTTTTGCACCATTATCATTTTAAATAAACAGTGATCAATTGCCATAGTTCAATTCGTATACTGCCCTGTACCTTTGACCATAAATAATGATGCCTCTGTCCACTGTGGTAATTGTTCAGTATTACCTGACCAAAAGTAATTCAATGAGATAAATTACTATTGAGAAAGATATGTTATAGATGAAAAGGTAAATAAGAAATTGCTTTCATAATAAAACTGTTTTTTATGTGTTACTGAAAACTAGGCTGATATATTCAATGGATTTAGAACTGTTTTATAATTTTGAATGATAGTAGTTGTAAAATATTATTAAGAAGAAACACAAATATTAATCAGGAGTTGACTAGGTGGCCGCAATAATTTAAGCTTAATGTAATAAAATGGTAACACTTAAATAATACTTTAAATTCACTAATTTCGTGGTCCGCTTGACCAATTAATGTATTACAATTAATTAAGGTTTTTAGTTGAGATAAAAGTCAATGGCACGAGCGGGATTCGAACCCACGATCTTCGGCTAGATACGCCGCTGCTCTACCACTTGAGCTATCGTGACCTCGATCCACTCGGACACCAACTTCCCATCTCAATCCAAGTATACTTCACTAAAGCTCTCCGTGTCCATTTCATTTGTCGCCGAGAATCAAATCCGATTACATGACATTTGAAAAATGGCAAAAAGGAGGGAAAATTCAAAAGGTGGGGTTGAGATGGGTTTTGGTGATGAGATGGGAGTTGGTGTCCGAGTGGATTGAGGTCACGATAGCTGAAGTGGTAGAGCAGCGGCGTATCTAGCCGAAGATCGTCGGTTCGAATCCCGCTCGTGCCATTGACTTTTTTATCTAATCTAAAAACCTTAATTAATTGTATTAAATAATACTTTTGTTTCTTTTAGACTAAATTGTTTTTATTGTTAGCTTCTCATTATAGGTTGTTGTTAATAGTGCCTTTATTTACTGCAAAAATAAACATTTTATGCTTATATTTTTCAGGAAAATATCCATGACTTCTAATCTAATAATATCAAATATATTTGATAGGTTGAATGTGCTAATATTTTTCCCTGTTGAATGAGCTAAATGGGGAATACATGAAGGGTCTAAACAAACAGGACTTAGTAACAATGTTAAATTCTAAGGGGTAAGGTTTTAAAAATATGCATGTCCACTAAGTTTTCTGCTAAAACTTTTTTGTTATTATTTAAATTTAGCCACTGTGTATAAAGTGTGAGTTATTATTAATTTAAAAAAAAATTAAACTTGAGTTGAACAAATTGTATAGAAGTAAGTAGGTTTTTGTGTTTGTATAAAGAAAAATTGAAATTTGAAGCAGCTTAATAAAAACCAAACAAATTAAAAAATATATTGCAGTGCATGTAAAACAAATTGGTTTTTCAGCTAAAATTAAAAAAAAAAATGTAAGACTACTTAAACAAAATATAAGAAGCTAAAAACATGCATTACCTGAGGTGGTTTAACATCATCTAAGTATTCACTGCTTAGATCCATTTTGTTGATTTCATCTGCAAGTCGTTTAGCTTCAGTGGCAATGCTTAAATTGAACAGGGCCGGCTCGACAACATCCGTGCATCCTAGTTCCCGTTCTTGTTTGGAGCATGTTTCATACAGCTCTTGAAGACCATTGTAACTCCTGTCCATTATGTTGTAGGGTGGTTTGGAAAAGATGCCAGTATTTGGCGTACGTTCCAAGCTATCCTCCCTATAAGAGCTCCTTCGACTTTGGCTCGCGGGTTCTAGACTGTCCTCGCGTACAACACTCGAAGTGGTCGAAGAGGTCAGTTCGGATTTGAAAAGGTCTGTCGTGTCTACCGTATGGGAACAGGTAAATTCTTGAGGTAAATTGACAATGTTCTGTTCCTGTTTTGGAATCTTTGAGTATAATAACGGTTTTAAAATTTCGGCATCCTCTAAGGCTTGTTTCAGGCTCAATTTCTCTTCACACTCTTCAATCTGATGTAAATTCTGTTCAGTATTTGATTTGGAAATGTTTTTCTCACTGATGGTAAATGCACCTTTATCAGCTTGATTAATAGTGAGTGGTTTTATTAAAATCGTCACGTTACAGTCACTGGCAGAACTGACACACGAAAGATTATTTGGGCATATATCCAAATCAGTGTTTGAATTTGTAAATGATACAATATCTCGTTTGATAATCTCATTTACTAAAGGATTCTTTTCATGAATAGAATCAGCTTTAACACGACAAGGGACAATAGTTTCTTCTAGCAAATCTGTATCTGTAGTTGAATTTGTTAAATTATCAACCACAGAGTCTTCTAACTTTGGAATGTCTTGGTTTAAAAGTTTGCCAGTGGTTGATGTGTCAATAACTTGTAAAATTCCTGATTCTCTAACTTCACTTACAGCACTGGTAGTTTTCGTTTCAACAGATTTGATATCTGACCCTACTACAGCACTGATAGTTTTGTTTTCAGTCGGTTTGATATCTGACTCTGCTTCAGCAGTGAGAGTTTTGTTTTCAGTCTGTTTGATATCTGACTCCACTGCAGCACTGATAGTTTTGTTTTCAGTCAGTTTGATATCTGACTCTGCTGCAGCACCGACAGCTTTGTTTTCAATCGGTTGGATATCTGACCCTACTACAGCACTGGTAGTTTTATCTTCAATTAATCTGATATCTAATCCTGCTACAGCACTGGTAGTTTTTGTTTCAATAGGTTTGATATCTGACGCTACTTCTACACTGATAGTTTTGTTTTCGGTCTGTTTGATATCTGCCTCTGCTGCAGTAATGATAGTTTTGTTTTCAGTCGGTTTGATATCTGACTCTGCATGAGCAGTGACAGTTTTGTTTTCAGTCAGTTTGATATCTGACTCTGCTGCAGCACTGACAGTTTTATTTTCAATCGGTTGGATATCTGACCCTACTACAGCGCTGGTAGTTTTTGTTTCAATAGGTTTGATATCTGACGCTACTTCTACACTGATAGTTTTGTTTTCGGTCTGTTTGATATCTGCCTCTGCTGCAGTAATGATAGTTTTGTTTTCAGTCGGTTTGATATCTGACTCTGCATGAGCAGTGACAGTTTTGTTTTCAGTCAGTTTGATATCTGACTCTGCTGCAGCACTGACAGTTTTATTTTCAATCGGTTGGATATCTGACCCTACTACAGCGCTGGTAGTTTTTGTTTCAATAGGTTTGATATCTGACGCTACTTTTACACTGATAGTTTTGTTTTTGGTCTGTTTGATATCTGCCTCTGCTGCAGTAATGATAGTTTTGTTTTCTATCGGTTTGATATCTGTTTCTACTACAGCACTGATAGTTTTGTTTTCAATCGGTTTGATATCTGACTCTGCTTTAGCACTGATAGTTTTGTTTTCAGTCAGTTTGATATCTGACTCTGCTGCAGCACTGACAGTTTTGTTTTCAATCGGTTGGATATCTGACCCTACTACAGCACTGATAGTTTTATCTTCAATTGATCTGATATCTAATTGTGCTACAGCACTGGTAGTTTTTGTTTCAATAGGTTTGATATCTGACTTCACTACAGCACTGATAGTTTTGTTTTCAGTCGGTTTGATATCTGACTCTGCTTCAGCAGTGATAGCTTTGTTTTCTATCGGTTTGATATTTGACTCTTCTACAGCTTGAAAAGTTTCCCTTTCAAATGATTTCAAATCTGATTCTGCCACAGCACGAATAGTTTCATTTTCCCAAGATGTAAAATCTGATTCTGATATGTTTAAACTTAGATAGATTTCGCCAAAAGACTCATCACTTCGCTGAAAACATTGCACTGACGTTTCGCTTACCGTTCTATCAGAATTTTGTGAAATATGATGAACTGTTGGTGCTTTAAGTTCCACTGATGTTGCACTCAGTTCCTCTGATGGTTGTGATTCAACAATTTCACTAAGGAAATTCTTATCACAGTTTATTTCACCTAGTTGAGTATTATTGTCATTAGTTAAATTTTCATTAGCTATGACATTATGTTCTTGTTTTAATGATACTGTGTTGTTTAACAATTTTTTCTCAACTACCAATGGATAAACCGATGGTTCTACTGAATTATTTATAATTTCTCGATTAAAGTTTGTATTCGCCTTTAAATCAGAATTGTCATAAATGACATTGTTTGTTGAAATTTGTGGTGTGCTATCAACAGCTAGAACTTCTTTGGGTTTTGAACAATTTGTTTCTTTTGTGATTTCATTCAATTCTTGATTACATTCACAAGAACTACTTTTTGGCTCCGAATCGTTGTTTATTGACTCTTCTGTAATATCACAAGAAAGAGCATTGGTATCAGTATTAATCAGTGTAATATTAGCGTTTATAGCTCTAGAACTTTCCAGATCTTCATCACCGAGAGTCGTGGTAGACAATTCAAGAGTCCTGCTAGAATTGTCGGCACTCTTCGGTGATGATATGTACAAATCTTTCTCAGCAGGTGAGAACGGGAAAGTGCCGACTAGTGGACTAACCTTCTTTGGCGTACCAATGTGAACAGAATCAAGATAATCAGCTAAAGTTGTAATACTTAAAGGATTGAGCGACACATTTCCCTCATCGGCACTTTCATAATCAGTTGTATCTGAAACCAAGCATTTCATATGCAACTAACTAATTCAATTTTCTCAACTTTTACCAATAACTATTTCTCATCATTGGTAAAGTGTGAAAATTTTAAATGGCAAAATAAATAAAACATGAAAAAAAGTATAATAGAAAATAACATATATATTTATCAATATCTCATTTAGACAAACAACATGCATGCAAATCAAAAGAATGGAGACATATCAAGCAGGGATCTACAAGAAATAAAAAAAGCAAAGTGCAAAAAAATCAGATTTATGAATATGTGTAATGACAATTGTTGACTATGTAACCAACATTTATTTCATATGATGACAAAAAGCAGTTAAAAAAAATCTTTATTATAAAAACCCTAAAATAATAGAAGAAAACCCTAAAATAATAGAAAAAAATAGAAAGATTGTTGGCAATACAAACATGACTTGAAATTGTAATGTTAAAAATAAAACAAATATATAAATGACAAGGAAGCGATTCACAAAAGTAAATGACTGGAACAAGAAATAGTCAAATTTCATCGATAGTTTTCCTGGAAGATTTAGGTGTAAATTTAGCAAACCTTGATATTGATTTTAATTTAATAATTTCCTAATAATTAAATAATAATAACCTTCAGATGTGCATTAACATGTTCTGATTATAATTTTCATTAAGAAAAGTTTTAGGTAAGCACTAACAATTCTATATTCTGTTCTTTTCTAATTTTACTATTTATTTCAATGTGGAAAATGAGACATTTCTATTTGGTTTCCAAGTATCAATATTGTGATAAATGTTTGTAGCATAATGAAATTAGAATGATTTGGGTAAAGATACAGGAAAATAGTTAAATTTATATCTTTTTCAAAAAGAATATGTGCTTACAGACAAAATCCAAGAGCGATTCCTTAAATTTTAGTTTGGTCCCCCTCTAACCAGCCACATATATTGAAAACATACACCATATATTCAGAGAGAATTCCACAATGAATAACCCAACCCAAATAGAAGATAAAATAGTTTTAATAAGTTGTAAAATACTGAAAGCAAGTTGAATAAAACACCATTTCACTTAAGCAAATCATGAATGATTTTCTGAAATGTACGACACATTGAAATGAAAGCGTCTATCTTTCGTTTAGAAAATCTGAGAAGAAAAGTATTAAAAAAATAAGCGAAATATAAAAGTATGTGTAAAAGTCACATTGTGGGAAAAAAATCTTAAGATTACTGAGTTGGAACTTCAGTACTAACAGAACAAAAAAAATCTTGCAGATTGCAACACAAGTATGTTAAAAATATAAAATAATACATACTGTTGGATCAATTATAATAAAAACTATAACAGTATAAGAAAAAACTAGTTCATGATTTAAAAATTAAATTTATTTGGATGTATTTAAAAGCAGAGGAAGGTACAATGGCCAAAGCAGATGCCATGGAACTGTTTTGCCTTTGTGAAAAACCAAAGCACCACAAAAAAAATTACAAGAAAACATAAAAAAGGAGATATTTAAAAACTGGTTTATCTTACTCTTACTATTATTCTACAGTAATCCTGGTGCACAATGTTCATTACTTGACAGGCTGTTATTTATATGTTTAATAAAGATTCACAATTTGTGCTTGTAAATTATTGCGACTTAGTGATAAAAGTCCAACCACCATGTTAGTTCTTGCAAGAGAAAATCAAATGTACCCAAAAAGCAGTGTTTAGTTAATTTGCCACAATGCAACAATGCCGTTCTGGTACATTTTTGTACTATTTGAATACCCATACTGATTTTCAACATACAAATTTAACTTACCAACGTCGGTGTGGGATTTGCTTGGGGATGAGGCAGCACTGTTTGTTGATTGCTGGTCTTCTTCAACTGGATGGGTAAAACTGCACAAATAAATAAATTAATTGAACTAATATACAAAATCTAATACAAAGTAACCAAACATCAAAATAAACATTCATGTACAAATTTAAACTATTGAGAGTTGTTGATAAATTGACGAGGATGTCAGCGTATCATGTATATGGGAACAACTTTTTCATTCAAACCAGTCTGAAATACACAAAAAAAGTAATTTAACAATTACCTAATGCACTATACAACTTTTTTATGACGAGGAATTTTTTATGACTGTTTTGAATTTAAATACAAAAATTGTTAGTGGTCCAATTAAAGACAGATATGACTTATTCTCAGATGAAGCAAAACAAACTCTATATTTTATTATTATTATTAATATTGGGCCAGCATCTTTGTAATGTTTTTCTGACGTCATATGATTGCAAATAGCGCCAACTCATACTGGGTTCAGTAACATCGTCCTATTCAGACTCTTCTTTACTTCAGAGTATTTAAATGCATCCAATAATAATTTTAAAAAATCAATAGATGAGAATAGCATGAGAAAGGAAGGAATGCAAACAGTCAAAAATGGTCTACCCTGAAGTATGGAGAATTGGTAAAGACTAGACGTGTAAATAAGTATTTGTACAAAAGGATTTTTGTTTCTGAGAGCGTAATTTTAAAGTGAGTGGATTTGTTAAGGTTTTTTTGTATTGGCCAGCACGTTCTCCTGACATGTATCCTACATAACACTTATGAGATAATAAAGAGACAGGTTGGTTGGACATCGTTCGCTGCCTCCAACAAGAGCTGAACAGCTCCATACTGCTCTTGTTGAAGAATGGGATTCTGTTTCACAAGACAACTGGTCACTTATTTACTCGATGCTTAGGAGACTTAAGGCCCTCGACGAGGCCAGAAGAGGTATAAACATTACTAAAGCAAAACTAGGTTTAACAAAAAGAAAAAAAAAACGGTAATTTTACTCTATCATTAAATGATTTTTATAATGTTTAGGTGATTCTTTCAAACCGTCATAATTACATATAATCCATCTAAGTTTAGCGGTCATAATTGACCATATTAATTATTCTTTTCTTATTATTACCTAAAGAATAATTAATATTGAAATAATTAAATAATTTTGAATGGGGCTTTATTTTAAACATGGAATTTTTAAGACTAATTTATTTAATTTAAATTTTTTAGTTTATGTTAGAAAATATTTCCATGTGGCTTTTTTTTATTAAAAAAGTAGAGGGCGTTTCAGGAATTTTTGAGGCTCCGGAGCAGAAAAATGAAACAAAAGAAAGTACAAATAGCGAGGTAATAAACTACAATGGTCAAAATCGCAATTTAAATAAGAAAATATCTCTCTCTCTCTCTCTCAAAAAAAAATAAATAAATAAATAAATAAATAATAAATAAATTAATTAAATTAAATAAACAATAAAAAGAAAGTGTTATTGTGTTTTGCTTTGTTATTATTGTTAAGTAAATTAACAGTAAGTCTATTTATAGTATACGAATGGAAGAATAGAAAGATGATGATGACAGAAAGATGCACCTATATTATGCTAGTCTGACTCCATTATTATTATTAATGGCCATACAAGACTATGGAAAATGTTTAAATTATGGAACAAAAATTCAAAATTATAATTAAAGAACAGTAATAAATTTTATAATTTAAAATGCGGCGATGACACTCAGTTGTTTGTTGGTCCATAAATTTCCCACTTTGTTATTATTATATTAATTTAAAATGGGTTTTATGCATACATTTGGCCTTCCAAGTTAAGTATTTTAAAAGGATAAATTAAAGCTTTGGATGGCAATAGGATAGATTAGTTTATGAGTGAATGTTTGGAGCCAGAGCTTTATAGCACTCAGAAGGGATAAAGCAAACCTAAGATAGAAAGTTTACATATTAGGGCGTGAAATGACCTTAGCCGTTAAAACGCCCTTAAAAATTAATACAAGATACTGATGATGAGTGAATTCCTGAAACGTATGAATAAACGTAAATAAGAACTGTATTTACTTTTTTATTAACAAAAAAAAAAAATTTCCTAATATAAACCAATAATTTTTTTATTCAAACATGAATTTCTGATCTCGTTTAATTTGGTTTAAATTGAAATAAGTATGTTGAAAATAATATAACATAGTTTGAAATAAACAGCAAATTTTGAGTGTTTGGATTTTTCTTTCAGTGAATATTTGTGTGTCGTTTACTTATATATCTGTAAGTGCTTATTTAATTTTAAAGTAATTAGAACTATTGCTGTATGCCTGAAGACTTAAAAAAAAATCGTGTGGTGTTATCCAAATCAATTTTTAATTTAATCATTAAGCAATTGCTAATTTTTTATGCCCTTCTGTGTCCTGGGAACCAGTCACGAGAGTTTGTTCTCTTTTCTACTGAGAATTTCATTTTAATTGGATTTTTTTAAGTAGAATTAAAATAATATTATTTAGTGTGATAATAAGCTAAGAATGACGTCGAGTGGTGCAGTTTGCGATTTTGGAGTTTTTTTCAAGGTAGATTTTCTTCTTATGATAAACCCGTTCTTCTCACGGTGACAGTTCTGTCTCTTTAGAGTTTAGAGAGATCGGATAGTTCTAAAATTGTCTCTTTAGAGTCTAAAGGATCGATTGTGGAACGAATCGACTCTCGACCCTCCTGCCCGTTGCCAAGTAGGTTGCAAACGGACATCAATGTAAAAATGGTTTAAGCCAAGTACCAAGTTCAACCTTGAAGGAGAGGCGGGTACAGTCACGAGGTCCGAATTCTAAACTTGACTCCAACACACAATCACCAAGTATGTTTATATATTAAAACTAATTAATTGAATCCTTATTGCGTTTAATTTTAAAATGTAAATATTGATGTTTAACGAGGAGTGATTTGGCGATGGACAAAATGGTTTTATTGAATTTTTCTCTTAGGAATGTTAGGTCTATGTTGATCAGGCACGCTTCCTTTCCTACATATTACTTTATTTAAATGGACCAACTTGTCCATCCATTCCAATATTAATTATAAAACTATCAACCTTTTATTACTTCACAGCAAAAAGTAAATTGTAAAAATATTACTGACTTTTAATAAAGAATCCAAATGACACATGGCCTAACAAACTGCTTTTCTAGTTTTTTTAATTTTCTATTTTGTTGGAGCGATAATAATCAACCGAATATATTTTGTTTTAGCAGAACCATTCCTCACTACTAATAGAATTGTATTTTACAATTTGATTCATGATGTACTTTTAGATATTCATGACTGAGGAAAGACCAATAAAGATCGCAAAAAGAGAAAGAGACCGGCCTCTCCAAATAGTGGTGGTGGAGGATCACCATGAGGTAATCCCGTTCATATACAGGCTCATCGGATCGAAAAAACTCCCTGTAAATGGGAATCTGCTCGTACATTTTGATTCGCACCCTGACCTCCTCGTCCCGAAGTCGATGCAGGCGGATGTCGTGTGGACCAAAGACACCTTGTTCCCTCACCTGAGCATAGAAAGCTGGATAATGCCTGGGCTGTACGCTGGGCATTTTAATTCTGTTGTTTGGGCGAAACCTCCGTGGGCGACGCAGATCCCAGACGGTCAGTACGATTTCAAAGTTGGAAAAAATAAAGCTGGTGAAATCGGTGTCACAAGCAAACTCGATTACTTTGTGGCAGAGGGGATTTTCAGCCCAGAGGAAGAACTTGTAAAAACACATCAAATTGATTTTCAAGTACAAACAGTTGGAAAGTCCATTGTTAACGAAGAAGAAAATTACACATTCACAAAAAACATAACACCCACAGACAGTTACATTCTAGACATAGATTTAGACTATTTCAGCACAAGGAATCCGTTTCGAGACCTTTACAACAATGCGAACTTATATGAGTGCCTTAAAGAACTTTATTTCTTTGAAGTTCCCACATCAAAGGAGACAAATGTCATAGTTGAATGTGTTAAAAAACGCAAGGAGCAATTGTCAGATCTGCAGAGGCTTTGGGAACACATAGCAGAATCTGGGATATACGCAGAGCCTGTACCATCATCCGAAAGGTGGCCAAAAGTTCAGGAAATAGCAAAGAAGGTACTCTCTGTTTATAAAGAGGTCGATTGGGAGATAGTCCACGATGCTGGATGCACATGGGACAGTACCGACATCCCACATCATGTTTCGACCAAGGAAGAACTCGAACATCTTATGGATGTGTTCAAAAAAGTACTTGATGAACTCGAATTTCCACCTGGCATTGTCACAATATCCCGGTCGACTGAAGACGACTATTGCCCTGCAGAAGATGTAGAATGGATTCAAGAAAAGGTTATAAATATGTTAAAAGAAAAGTTCAAAGATGTTAAGGTGGATGAGGCCTACCTGGATGATTGAATACAATGGCTGTTAAATTGTGCTTTGGATGTGTTCCTAAATAATAACTAATAAATGACTGATTCAACGTTATTTTAATTCCTTTACCTTGAAACAATCTTATCTATATAAAAATACTGGTATTTGTTTTATTTTTTAAATAAACTGAAAATCATTGTGCCTAAAAAATAAATAATAATTTAATATGAAAACAAAAACTGTTGTATCTATTAAAATTTAAATTGAATATGCTGTAATTTGTAAATATGTTTTGAATAAAAAAAAAATAAAATAAAAAATTGGCAAACCCTGGAGGGTTGTATAAAATTAATTGATATGCTACATAACACTTATCCGCTTCAATCTTACATTTATACAAGCCAAACAGAGAAATTAATTTATCAAAGCTATTATGAAGTCTACATATGACTGCTTACTTAAGTGAAATGATTTGGTATTTTGCATGTAATCCTTAAACTTGAGGGGTCCCAAATGGTATAGTTTTAGAACTCATTCTCTCCTTATTATACATAAAAATGACATTTAATATTTTATTAAAGTTGACAGCTTTTTGTTTTGTAGTTGATACTGCCCTTATTTACGATAAGACCTCATGAAATTGATCATTGAACATGACTACAACTTAATAAAAACTGGTTTAATATTAGACTATAAATCTTAGAAGTTATAAGTTAAGCCTAGTGAATAATTTAATGTTTCACACTGAATTTGGTATAAAACCCATAGATAAAAAAAATGAAATTGTAATTCTATAAAATTATTGAAAAATGTAAGTACCTATCTATCATCAAGCTGGATAATGTGTTTTGAAACTCATATTACAACTCAAAATAAAATTAGAAAACCATACTTTGTATTCAATAGTATTCATATTCTAAATAAGAAATCAATATATAATTCAATTCAACAATTCTGTTTTTGGTCTCAAAAAATTTCAACAAACTATCTATATACCTGCCTAATTTAATTTTTATTACTATGATTTTTTTAATAAAATGATACAATTCTCTTCTATGTAGGCATGCTTTGATTTTAAAAAAATTCTTCTAAATTTCTTTTTAAAAAACTGTAACGGTATTTTTGAGGGGTGGCTTAAAAAGGCAAAAATAAATATTATTATTTGCATGGATTGTGAATAAGTGATTCAGTTGAATTCCAGTTAAAATTGAATAAGTATACTTCTAAGTAAGTAATAAGCATAAAATAAGTATAAATAATAATAAGTATACATGGGGACATCAGTGGCCACAACGGTTTAGGCGTTGACACGGCGCTCATCACTGTAAGATAAAGGTCCCGGGTTCGAATCCAGTAGCTCTGCATTCGAACCTGACAACCTGAGATACTTACAAATGGGCTTTTTTTCAAAAACACTGGCACCCCGAGTGTTGATATAACCTCTGCTGTTGCGAACCCTTGTTAAAAATTTTTTTATAAATATACTTATAAGCTTCATCCATAAATACCTAACTTATAAGATCAATACACAAGAAATGTATTTTTTCAAAATGGTGGTGAAAAACAGATGAAGTTATGAATCCCTCTATGTTTAGCACTTATTGTCCTTACAATTATTACATTACCCAGCCTTTCCTGAAACCTTAAACTTACGGATTTAGTTTTCAAAACTGCTTGTACACATGTGTGAAAGTGTCATTTCCAGTGCTGAAACTCACCAATAAAAAATCACCTTCATCGCTAAAACTTTTACTTTGCACGTCTGGAGAGTGAGATGATACGGCTTTTGATATACAAGAACACTGTGATCTAAATTAAATCAGACACCCATTCTTAGAAATGGAGACTGACTGCATGGTCCCAGAAACAAGAGAAGAAGAAGAATTCAGGAAGAAAACATAATTTTTAACCAGTCATTTGTTTATGGCTTAAGGCCAAAGAGATTTACTTTTATAGAAATTATTTTATTTACAAATGCACATGAAACATAGAAAACGTATTTGGTTGTTATAAAATGAAGTTATTTAAGCTAAAGAAAATATTTCATGTCGTAATTGTACATTTTATTTAATTTTGAAAATTTTCTCTCTACCATACATTTACTTAACTAGTCTCAATACATACCAGATGGCAGTCGTCCAATTGGAAAGTCTTCCCCCTCGTCGATGATACTTTTCTTATTTATCTCGTTTTTTGGAAACATGTGCATATCTGAGAGTTCTTTAAGCAAACTGAGCACTTGTTTCTAGGTCCTATACTGAGAACAGGGAGGGAAATGAGCGCTGACTCATTGAAAAAATCTACCTAGAGAGGCCTGACTCACTTAACTAACGTTCCTCTTCCTTTTTACAATACGTTATGAATAGGCTCAAAACGTAAAATTCGGACTCGTTTATTTTTATTCTTAATGTAAAGTTAAACTGACGACCAAAATTAGAAAGCTAGTCCATGATCTTTTAAGTTGTTAAAAAAAAACTTATTCTGCCAAAGGCTAACGTTCCACGAACCTAATCCACTTCCCATCATAATTATTCATGAATAAGCCGCGATATAAAAACTTTATAAGGGAAATATGATTAAAAACAAGACGAAGATGGATTTACACGGCGATTTTCCTCGCATATTGTTGTTATAAATCGTCGGGGACACGCAACGCGTAGTTGAACTACCCCTACTGTTTGACAGGACTTATTTATTGTTATAAACTGTTTACAATAAAACTTACGTTTCTCCAAGTATTGCTTCTGGTTTCACCTTCTCCCCGCCACCGCTCTAAAAAAAAAATTAAATTAATTTTTGACAAACAAACCATTAGAAATAAATACCTAATTAAGCTTTGACAAACATGCATTAAACAAACATCTTAGTAATAATTTACGTATTTCTAAATACACTCATGAGTAAGCCTGACAAACAAACAAGTCGTAGATAAAACTGAGTTTGATTCTACCGGAACTGCCAGCAGTTGGCAATGGAACTTCAAATTTTGGAAACAATAATTCGGATGAAAAAGTGTGAGCCACATGCATAACTTTTTTTACTTCCGAGATGCTCAGATGAAGTGGACCGCCACCCAGAAAATTATGCGTACTGCCAGGCAGAGTTTTTCATAAAAATAAGCGGTTTCAAAAGACGGGAGTAGGTAGGTCACTTCTATGACCACCTAACCTTCAGTTGTTAGGTGAAACTGGCCGACGGGGATTTTTTAAATTCATTTGTTATTTTACCCAACTATGCTATTAATTGGAAGACGATTCAACTTCCCATGAAATCTTCAGCATAATTCGTTTTGGTTTACGCAAAATAAAGAAAGATAGCTAACGTAAAATAGACAAAGAAGAGGGCTACAAACACAACTCTGAGATACTCCCCCGATTTAGATCAGTGATTATATATTTAAAAAACGATTAGGGATGAAGCCAATCCTTGGCAATTGTTGGATTTAATGTATAATTAATTATATTAAACTGTGTGATCTGTGTCAGGTAATTCTTTGACCTTTGGCAACGTCTACCAAATCTTTGTACATGGAAGTCACCATCAAAAAATCGCCATCACCCAGAGAATCAGGAAGTCCTAGAAGTTAATGTTTAAAAGCAGAGATTGGAGAACCGAAGGCAGGTCTGTTTTATTACAATTTGCACGGGGTCTCTTTTGCATATGGTTTAATTAATAATAAATTAGTGAGCAATGCATTCCCATCAATTAGTCGGTTTGGTTTCCGGGATGAACCATGTGGGATGTTTTCCACCCTAGCTGTTTTACTTAAATCGAACCCGTTTGAAAAGAAGCCTCTATACTCAAGATTGTTGATAATTTATTATTTATTCTTTACAGCCGTTTATTTTCGTTTCACTAGCGAGGCTAAACACAATAGACAAAAGATAAACCAGCTTGTTGAAACTACTCGCTTACAAATGTTATTCTTAGCCGCGCATAATATGAAACAAACAAGCATATTATTGACGTTTCTACTTCTCTTCGTAACATTTTCTTTGGCCCAAGGTTTTAACAGTAAATAATTGAAAATACGAGTACAAAGTTTTGGATGTTAGCCTTGGAATCTAGTTAAGTGTATTGATACATAAAACCTGGTGCCTGTTCAAATGTTTTTTTGCCTTTTGGAATCTGGTTAAGAGATCATAGATTTAATGGTTAAATTGCTTTAGTGTGAACGTAGGAAAGAAACAATTGTCACTTAATTAACTCACACGCCAACACAATTCACTTAATTCACTAGTTTTATACAAGGAGCTTTTAAATTTTATCGGCTAAAAGTGGAAAAGTTCAATACTGACAAAACCAACCCAAAATGAACATTACAAACATTATATGGCTTCCTTTGTTTACCATTTGCGTGAACCGTGTAAATCAAGTTCTTCCCCGAGCGATCTTGCATGTTTCACGATCCTAGGAATAGACGAGATAATAAAACAGCATTCAATTAATAAAGCACGAGGAAAAAACAGGGCTAGAGTGCTTGACCATTTTTCAAAAAATTTCAATAGCGTTGAATATTTGTATCGTTGAAAATATCAATAATCCCATTGACTGGATTTTGTTAAATTGTTCAATTCTATAATTTGGTTTGCACCCATTCCAATAGTTGGGACTCTATTAATAAACATAAAGATAGCAACAGATGACGTAAAATTTGGCGGAGTTAGAAGCCCTCCTCGACTAAAATACCAGGCCGATTTCGTCTTGCACAATTTACGAACATAGTTTCTATTTACCCGTTCTATTTACTTTGCAGATAAATGAGCTCAGAAAGATACAAAAAAAGCTAGGTTAGCCGATACGATGCACAAAAAACCCCTACATTCTATATCAAAAAATTAAACGAATAAGAACAGCATAAAACATAAACCTCCAGCTTTTGTTTTGACATGTATATCTACAGTAGTTGGGAGTTTATTTATATTTTTAATAAATAGAATACGAGCAAAATTTTCTTTAAAGTTCTATCCAAACAAGACACCCAGGTATCAATAGACCTCTCGAATGTGCATCGCAAATAATTAAAGTACAAAATTTTGCCTTATTAGGAATAAAACCACACTGGTTACACTGACTTTGCATAATACCCTTTTTCTGCTTATAATTTCAAGCTTGAAAGGCTGGACAGCAATCATCAAACGGGTTTATTAGAACTAACAGCTTGGAAACAAACATAAACAGTTACGAGCATTTGTTGATAGGTTTCCTACAAACTCTCAGTGAATGGAGACAACTTTTGCTTTATATTGGATTATTTCGAAGAGAAACTCATAAAAAATTAAATTAGCGTAATTTTCCCCTTGGAAATCAGTAAAACACTAATAACTAAACCCCTTTCATATATGTACCTTTATCGTTTCCCTTTAACTACCTTTCAAGATTTGTTCCAATATAGTTGACGAAAATGACCTATTGTGGAAATATAATAACATTCCTTGTTCCTGGATGTTATTACTATAATATAAACATGATTAAACTACAGTGCTTTTAAATGGAACGAAACATTTTTTTTTGCCTTTACATATGTAGTTCCGTAGTTTATGATGGTTTTAAATCACGTTCAAAAGTTAAAAATGTCAATAATATTTTTGAAAAAGTACTATTTTTCATTATCTACTATGTTTACCCAACTGTATTATTGGGCTGAACTTCATGGCAAGTGAACGGTACTTTTCAAATATATATTTTGGCCGTATTAGTACACAAGATTGTGATGGTTAGCGTTATTTTCAAGAACAGACCTTCCGGAGAAGCTTGTTGATGTAATTCATAATTGCCCTTCCTTCAACTCTTGGCCCCTTGTTAAATCTCACCGGAACGTACACATGGCACGGGACTGACTGCTGACTAGAACAGGGAAGCGCGCTTCTACCCTCACTCCCATCTGATTTGGGACTAAAGAAGAATACAGGGTAGGGGGATACGCCATACAACCAAGGGATGGGGACGATGGGCCTTCGCACTCCAAATTGGAATATTTAGTCACGGCGGAGGCGTGTAGCGGAGCGAGAACTCGCATGCCCTTAATTATCAACGAAGTTGAAAAAATATACAAATTAGTCAATCGGTTATGCTTTACAACGAGTAAAGTAGGTGAGAGATAAGAAGACTGGATTACCCGTTCGAATACAAAAAGGCGACTATTTACAACTAAGGGCTTGGAGTTCCGCTCGTGCCTTTATCATGGCACACATGGTGATATACATTATTGTACTGTTTTTCTCAGACTTCCTTCCTCTCTACAATACTATCTCTACTTCCTCAATTGCCCTCTATCGCTCTTCAAAATCTCCCTCTATATCCGTATAAACATGTCTCACAACTGTTTTTTTACAGTTTCCGATAGTTTTGGTCGGTCTATTCTCGCTGTTTTGGACCTAAATCAAAATATGAAACATCAAATAACACGTCCATAGGCCCCGCAGACCAAATTGGAACCTCAGAATCGGTCACTATTTGTTGCTCTCTCTCTTCCTTCAATTTTCTCTCACTAATCTACCCTTTCTTTGATATTCGCCGTTTACTTCTCCGTTTTTATTTTTTAAGTCATACCCACAACCCTGTTCCAAACTACCCATCTATATCTCAACATAGGAACCTCAGAATCGGCCACTATTTGTTACTCTCTCTTCCTTCAATTTACTCTCACTAACCTACCCTTTCTTTCATACTCCCCTTTCCTTCTCCTTTTCTATTTTTTAAGACATACCCACCACCCTGTCCCAAAATATATATCTATATATCACACGCCTCTGTAACACGCCAACCCTTCCACCTTCTCTTACTTTCGTTCAATCTCTTTATTTATGTCTGTCAATCTCTCTCCCTCTGACTTTTGTTCAATCTATCTATTCATGTTTCTCTTACTTACTCTTTACTTACTTTACTCTTATTCTTTTCAATCAATCTATCTATTTATTTCTCTCCCTCTTTCTTTCTTATTACTCTCTCTATCTCTCCCCTATGACACTCTCTTACTGTCGTTCAATATCTCGATTTATGTCTGTCAATCTCTCTCATTTCTGTTCAATCTATCTATTTATTTCTCTCCCTCTTTCTTTCTTATTACTCTCTCTATCTCTCCCCTATGACCCTCTCTTACTGTCGTTCAATCTCTCGATTTATGTCTGTCAATCTCTCTCTCTCTCTCTCTCTCTCTCTCTCTCTCTCTCTCTCTCTCTCACACACACACACACACACACACACACACACACGCACGCACGCACATACTGACTTTTGTTCCATCTATCTATTTATGTTTCTCTTACTTTCCTCTTACTTACGTTCAATCGCTCTCGCTCTCTCTCTCTTTCTTATCCTGTTCAATCTACTTTTTATGTTTCTTAACTTACGTTATATCTCTCCCTCCCTCTTATTTCTGTTCAATCTACCTATTATTAATTAACACGAATACCCTCTTCATCATATTAAAATATACCGAGTTTAAACGAATCTATATTTTTGTCATGGGTAATATAAGTTTAAAATATTGTCTGATATATGTACAAAACAATTGTACAGTGAGTTTTGATAAATTTTGAATATTATTCTTCAAACAATACTCAATAATGTGAGCCAATGAAATTTTAAGAGTATGTACTGTATTGATCACCCACTACGGTTTGCACAACCAGTTGTAATGTATTCCTTTACCCTTATAATTAGTTTAAAACCACCAATATTCTGTAAACAAAAAGGTAAATAATAAAGACGTTTATCTATATATCTACTGTATAGATCAAACAAAAGTTTTGAGAGAACCTGGCCATCCC